AATCTCTCTTCACTGTCTTCTCAGGGAAGAGTTCTCACTGCTTCTCTTCAGTCAGATCAATCTGTATCTCAAAATCCTGCATTTTCTGATCTGCTGTCTCAGGTTTCATCTCAGCAGTAAGCAGATTGATATACTCAGAGAGTAGAACTGTCTTCTCAATATTCTGAATCATGAAGTACATTTGAGACCTGAATAAGACCTCAATTCTCTTCTTCTCTGCCAGCTCCTGCTAATCAATTAGAGAACAGAAGTATTATTAAAAATTATTATCTCTTAATAAAAAACTTACTAGTTTTAACTTCTTTATCTTTTACTTTAATATCTTCTCAATCTTCTTCTGCTACTGCTTATTTATAGTAATACTCTTCTTCTCTCTCTCTCTCTCTTTATCTTGATCTCAAATCATTCTCAGAACTTCTTCTGATTTCATTACTACTGTATGAGACTCTTCACTATCTTCTTTTTCAATCTCTCACAGACAGCATTATCTGCATTATTTCTATACTTAGTTCAGTCTAAATCTATCAGAAGTGTTACTTAAAATTGTTATTATTCTACTCTCTTACAGAGCCTCTTCAAGACATTATAATATGTCTTATAATCTGTCTTTCTATGCTTAAATGCCTTCTTCTTCTCTCTCTTCAATCTGTAATGATACTCACACGCCTTGATGGTCTGCAGAACCGCAGAATATTTAAAGAGAGATAACATAATTGGTTTTAATAAGTGTTGAGAGAGAGGTGAAGACAGGCAATGATATAATAATAATAATGATGATGATGATAATAATAGTGATAATAATGATGATAATGATGAAAGAGAAAGTGCATTGAAATATATTATTAACTTATCAAACATAAAGAGACAAAGAAACTATTAACAGCTTTCAGAGATGTACAGAAACAGCTACAGTGTTACATAGTAATATTATCTTCATTCAATACATGTATTATTAATATTCTTTATATGCATTTATCATATAATCTATATCAGAGATACATGCAGAAAACAGATCTTTATTACTAGAGAGAATAATTACAGTGATTCTCTATTTTCATATTATAAAGATAAGTTATTCTTATTTCTTTCTTCTCTCTTTTCTCTTCTTCTTCAATTCATCATTAAGTTCAAGCTGGTATGAAAACTATTAAAACACTCATAGAAACTCTCAAATTAAAGAGTATAAACTAATCAAATTTTAAATGCAGATGAATTAAATTAATTTATTAATACTAATTATTCATTTCTCTTTCAATAAAACAACAGTTGTGTCTTTCTTCTCTCTCTCAAATGAAACATAGCTTGTGAAAAGCAAGTATTACATCAGACTATAATAGCAAACACAGCCTCAGCATGCAGAGCTGTATACATACAGTGCATGCTGAACTGAGAGACTGTGTGAGTTGTAAACTGACAGCAGCATTTCAGAAAGAGCTGTGCAGTATGAGAAAGCTGCAACTCTCAGTCATATATGCAGAGAATGAATCACTGCAGTAAGTGTATATGTATTATATGAAAGTAACACTTTTTAATAATACTCAGTCTCTGATATCATGAAAATAGAGTCTCTCTGTGAGATCTGTTTTTATCAGAAGTCAGAGAATCTTATATTCTTCAAGATTATCTTCATATATCTTATCTGTGAAATTAATAAAAGAAATTATTAATTTCAGCATTCTGCTCTTAATGTTATTCAAGTGACAGCAGAGTTCATTCTGATCACACTTTTTAAGTGTATATTTTCTAATTATTCACATTTATACAGATATATACTGATTATTTATTAGATAATGTTAAGATAATGACTCATTATAGCTGTATTACTCTCACTGTGAGAAATACATGATTGATAATAAACATTATAAAAACTCTGAGAAGTAAGTATTTTAAGAGTACTGCAGCTCTGTAATCTTGATTTTTTTTATTTTTATTTTTTATTTTTTTCTTTTTCTTTTCCTTTTTTTTTATTGTGATTTTTTCTTATGTTTATTTTATTTTTTGTTTTTTATTTTTTTTTGTATTTTATGTTTTTTTCATAATTAAAATTATATGAATTATGATCTGTATTCAGAAAAGTAATGATATTTGATAATACTCTCTATTGAATTTTTAACAAATGAGTACTATGTTATGATATTATGTAAGTGAGAAGTGATTTCATAATCTCATTTAATGCCATTCTCAATAATGAGATCAGAATGAAAATGTAACTAAGAATTTAAACATATTCTTTATTCAGAACTAGATTTTTATTTAAAAAGTGAATCTGAGATCTTTAATATTTGAAATAACATGATTTGAGATCAATGTAATGAACATAAATCATGATCAGAAGTAATACTTTTAGACAATATAACAACTGTAAAGTTTGATTCTAGTCTCAGACACAGTCATACAGTCAGTCTACTACTATCTAATGTTAAAACTGTGTAATGAGATCAGTTGAATTGATAATAAAACTATTAAAAAATCTAGTTCTAATCTCAGACACAGTTATATAATTAGTCTAACTATGTCTAAGATTAGAATCAGAATATTTAATAATTTCATTATTAATTTAATTAATCTTATTACATAATTTTAAGATTAAATAGTAGTTTTATACTATTTTAGTAAGACTTACTATCTACTCTTATTACATTTTTTAAATAAGATTATAATTTTCACTTCTTAATTTAAATTATTTTTATTACTTTAAATAACTTTAAATCTTATTTAAATGTTATTAAAAAGTGTTACTTTTTAAAAAATTAAAAATAGTCTAAAAAAAACCTTAAAATATCTAAAAATGATAACTTTATACTAAGAATGAGACTAAATAAAATTTACTTTCTTATTTTTTCTAAGTTATAATCTTATTTTGAAATTTAATATATAATTACTTTTAAACTGACTGTATAACTATATCTGAAATCAGAATTAGAATTTTTAATAGTTTTATTATTAATTTAACTAATCTTATTATATAGTTTTAATATTAAATAGTAGTCTTATACTGTCTTAGTAAGACTTACTATTTACTCTTATTATATTTTTTAAATAAGATTATAATTTTCACTTCTTAATTTAAATTATTTTTATTACTTTAAATAACTTTAAATCTTATTTAAATATTATTAAAAAGTATTACTTTTTAAAAAATTAAAAATAGTCTAAAAAAAACCTTAAAATATCTAAAAATAGTAACTTTATACTAAGAATGAGACTAAATGAGATTAAATGAGATTACTTTCTTATTTTTTTCAAGTCATGATTTCATTTTAAGATCTGATATATAGTCACTTTGCATGTTTTTTTAATGACTAGTCCCAGCAGGATTCATGCTAAGAAATGTATAGAATCAGATTAAATAGAATCAAATGTGAAATTCATGGTCTCAGTGACCAGTCTAGTCACTTTACATGTTTTTTTAATGATTAGTCCCAGCAGGATTCACATCAAGAAATGTATGGGATCAGACTAAATGGGACTAAACATGAAATTCATGGTCCCGGCGGCCAGTCTAACTACTATTCACAACTCAGCTTGAACACTATTATACATTTAATCTCCACATTTATCTTCCTACTGTGAATACTTCTAGTAGTCATCAGTACATATCACGCCAAGCTGCAGACCTCTGAATAATCGCCTGCGAGCACTTATTCTTACATGATCAGTCCAGTTTGTAGTAGACCTATATTCTTCACACTCTATACACGTCCGTTATGCACCGCAATGGAGCAGGATGGACAAACCAATAGGAGCGGCTCCCGCCAGCCGCTCCACTCCGCTGGGCCGGATGAGTCCGCTGGGGAACAAGCTTCCCGCGAACCCACCCAGGTATCTGACACTGGGCGCGCCTACTCGCAGGTGGCAGCGGAAAAACACGCTGTCATGATCGCGGAGGTCTGGCAGAACGCAGTCCAGTTTGCAGTCCCTTGCCTATCTTCCACTTCAGAACACCATAGCACCGGTGATCAGTCTGGGTTGTGGCCACAGTTGCGGTAGACCCACCTTCTTCGCACCTTATACATCCCCCGCCAGCTGCTCCTATTGACACTACTTTCCCCTGCCACTGCAGCTGGTGATCAGTCCAGTTTGCAGTCCGTTGCCTATCTTCCGCTTCAAAATGCCATAGCACCGGTGATCAGTCTGGATTGTGGCCACAGTTGCGCCCCCGCCACTGCAGCTGGTGATCAGTTCAGTTTGCAGTCCCTTGTCTATCTATCTTCCGCTTCAGAATGCCATAGCACTGGTGATCAGTCTGGGTTGTGGCCACAGTTGCGCCCCCGCCACTGCAGCTGGTGATCAGTCCAGTTTGCAGTCCCTTGTCTATCTATCTTCTGCTTCAGAATGCCATAGCACTGGTGATCAGTCTGGGTTATGGCCACAGTTGCGGTAGACCCACCTTCTTCACACCTTATACACATTTGTTACAGACTGCAATGGAGCAGGATTAACTCACATTCAAAACAGACCTAGTGCTTGCTCTCTCATTCCTTATTAGGTTTAGTGCCCGCGGCAATTAGTGGTTTCTCTCATCTTCTTTCAACCTCATTTTTTATCCTGCCACCCCATTTTCATTCCCCGCGACCGCTCCTTTTCGGACAGGGGGACTGTGGTGTCCACCCTTACTACTCCTCAGGGCTTCCGCTCCTTCCTTCTTCTGCTCCATCCTTATTCCTCTATCTAGAAGCACATCCATCTACTACTTCTCAGGGCTTCCGCCCCTTCCTTCCTGGGGCTTCCACTCCTTCCTTCTGTAAAGTCAACCATGATAAACAAACAAGCATGTACTTATATATATATAGGGGCGCCCGCCCATCTCCATCTTAGAAGAATGAGACAAGATTTACCTTTTTACATGTACTATAAGTTACATGATTGGCATACACTGAAAGTGATGTATGCTGCAATCTGTATGATATGTGAGACTTAGAGATAGAGATTTGCAGATATCAAGAATTCTCAGACTGAGTCTTTATATTCTTTTCATTCACCTGCTCTTTCATCTCATCATTGACTGAATTCTCTTCATTATCTGAAACTTCTGAAATAGATAGTTTGAGGAGACTGAGGTGCAGAGTAGAAGTCTCTGTACAGACTTGCAAAGCAGCAGAACAGTGGATGTTGCAAGACATATTGAAAAAAAAGTTGACTGACATATGTGGATTCGATGATAAAGATTAGAAAGACATGTATTCAGATGATATTTGATGAAAAAAGATGTGAATTATATGATAATTGAATGGTTCTGGAGAAATGTGGATATTTTGATTTTTTTGTGGTGTTTTGCTACTAATTTTCAGAGGGGGCTGGGAAAATTCTGTTTTCGCAAGCAATATGTCCGCCACAATATATCGTCCCTTAATACATCGTCCATTTGGGTTTCCTTTCGTTTTCCCTTCTTCTTCGTTCTTGCTTTCTTCGTTATATAGCAAGTTGAAATCAATACTCCTATGCTCATGAAAGTGTTGCTTTACGTATTGGGAAGAAATTGAACGAACAGTGCTATTATGAAATTTCCAGAACATATTAAAGTAGGTTGCTTGTGAGGCAAAATGATATAAAACTCCATCCCAGTATCACCAGTTCTACCATTGCGCCGGTGCAATTATCTGCGCGCCATCCCATGAGAATCCCTTTTAGCAGCCCATTTTCATGCCAGGTTTAAATAATCAATCCACGCATCACAAATAGTCCTTCTTCCTACTCGTCCTGGTATATTGACTGAGTGCCCATTCAACCTCGCCTCCGGAGTCCTTCTCCAACGTTCCTCCTCGGATTTGGAATAGTCTCATCGTCATCCGCGGCCCGACTTCAGCTAGTTCAACTGATTGGTATCCAGTCTTAACGAATACATGATGTCGCACTTCTATACTGTCTTCTATATTTTTAAAGGTGACAACCCTACTCCCGAGCTTCCCATTTGCTTCCCGCGGCGGGAAAATATGTTTTAGGATTTGGACGACACGAGCACCCAGCTTGGTGGTAAACCCTTCAAATATTAGGTGAGGATAGCTTTCCGAGACGGTTCCTCGTGCAGAGTTCGGAATATCTGCTCGTAGCATGACATTATGTAGCGAGAAACTGGCCGTTGGGCCATAGGGGAGGTGAGACACGGTTATCGCAGTGGGTGTACCGCGATGCTCGTGTAGCAGGATCATATCAGAGAGTGCGGACGCCTTGGCGCTTGCTAGAAGATCAGGAATGACTAGATTTCCCCGATTTATCCGAATCGAAGTTGGGATGAGTAAACGCATCTCTTTGGCGAAAGTACTAAGGCGCGCAGAGGGAGAACGGGACGTTGTAATGAGGGGTCGAGGGTCAACGATGCCGGATGTGAGAGCATACTCGTCATCGAGGTCAAGCATGTCAGAATCTTTGGAGTTAGGGTCTCCCGGTTTCGAGGATGTGGGTAAGGATTCATCGTATTTGAAATCTTCTCGCAATATTTTATCATTGGCCACAGAGGGATCTAACGGTTTCCCTGACGCAAGGGCAGCTTTCAGCTTCGCGCGCTTCTCTGCTATAGAAGCATCGCGGAGGAGGAGAGCTTTTCGGTAGAGATAGTCTCTCCGTTCACGAGCTTGACGGCGCTGTTGGTTATGTTAGCACAAATCGTCACAAATCAAGATCTGGGGAGAGGAATATTCATACAATCATTTTGACCCGTGGTTTAGTTGCTGAAGGACGCAAGGCTGCTGACTGAAGGACCATGTGCGCTATGCCGATATTTTTGACTTTATTTTTTATTTAACGGGGAACTAGAAACTGCACTTGTGGTTAGCCGCGGCTGCCGTAGTTGTAACTATCGCAGATTTCGCGGGTCGTAGCGATTGCCATCCGGGACCATCACTCCCACTACCCAGGTGGTAACCTCTAACTATTTCGACCTTTTTTAATTGTCTGTGTGCCATAGATCCTTGGGTTGCAGAACGGAAGTGACTCAGTTTTCTATTCTTGCCTTGTGGCTATTTCTGCTGTACGCTCCCCTCAACTGGCTATGTCATGGTTCTCGCTGTAAATGGGATATCTGCCCGTCAAAAATGCTCGTGACGGACTGTACAAAAACAAAATTTGATGCTGACTGTTTGAAATTTCTCCGGTTACTAGTGACAAATAATTTTCTTTTATTCGGTCGTTCTGAATGCGAGGTTCGACTTCACTCCGAAAACGGTATCACTGTGCTTCTGCACAAGCTGCAACGCTCGAAGGGAAAGACAATAGATTTGGGAGAAAGTGATATACGTCAATATGGAGGCTTTTAACTATATGGGAAATCATCTAGTTTCAGACTCTGCTTCTACGATTAACGCTGGAGACGACATGTCTACCATCGATGGCGATGAAAGCATCTTAAATTTAGCCACCGGGCCTCGAAAACGACAACATGATGATGAAGACGAGATATCGGATAGCTTCGAGGATGATGATTTGGAAAGCATGGCTAGCGTCCCTGTCGATGGGATCAAAACGACCGCCACCAAACCGGAGGAAGAAAAGGAACTACCTGTTCACTCATGCGCGTAAGTTGGAGATATAAGTTCCGTCGCTGGATGTGCCAAAGTGATGGAGTTTATGATTACAGCATACTGACTTTTGGCTCTTCCTTTTTATAGTTACTGTGGAATTCATAATCCAAGCAGCGTAGTGAAGTGCTTAACTTGCACCAAGTGGTTTTGCAGCGCGCGTGGCAACACCTCCTCATCTCATATCGTCAATCACCTAGTCAGAGCAAGGCATAAGGAAGTTCAGCTGCACCCCGAATCGTCGCTTGGTGACACAATTCTCGAATGCTACAATTGTGGGACGAAAAATGTTTTCCTTCTAGGCTTTATTCCCGCCAAATCCGACACTGTTGTGGTGCTACTCTGTCGGCAACCTTGCGCTGCGATGCCTTCCTCGAAAGATATGAACTGGGATACGTCCCGCTGGCAGCCTCTTATCGAGGACCGTTCCTTTTTACCATGGCTCGTGAGCTCTCCGTCTGACCAAGAACAACTTCGCGCGCGGCATCTAAGCCCTCAAATGATCGCGAAGCTAGAGGAGATGTGGAAAGATAATGCATCGGCTACTGTTGAAGATCTCGAGAAAGCAACGGGTGTTGATGACGAACCTGCGCCAGTCCTCCTTCGATATGACGACGCTTACCAATACCAGAACGTATTCGGCCCCCTTGTGAAGATCGAAGCCGACTATGATCGCAAATTGAAAGAGGCCCAATCTCAAGACGGCTTGGTTGTGCGGTGGGACCTAGGACTGAACAACAAGCATCTGGCGAGTTTTGTTCTCCCGAAGCTGGAACTTGGCGATGTGAAGTTGGCTGTTGGTGATGAAATGCGGCTTAAATATACTGGAGAGCTGCGACCTAAATGGGATGGAGTAGGATACGTCATTAAAATTCCTAACAATCAGTCTGACGAGGTTACTATTGAATTGCGAACCAAAGGCGATCATAAATCTGTCCCCACTGACTGCACGCATAATTTCACAGCTGATTATGTTTGGAAGGCGACATCCTTTGACCGAATGCAGCTAGCCATGAAAACATTTGCTGTTGATGAGATGAGCGTTTCGGGTTACATCTTCCATCGACTTTTGGGGAATGAGGTTGCCGCTGGGCCTATGAGAACTCAAATGCCCAAGAAGTTCAGCGTGCCAGGTCTTCCAGACCTCAACAGCAGTCAGACTAATGCTGTGAAAAGCGTCCTTCAGAAACCTTTGAGCTTAATTCAAGGACCTCCTGGCACTGGGAAAACCGTCACTTCAGCTAATATTATTTATAACCTGGCAAAAATAAACGGCGGCCAAGTGTTAGTCTGCGCACCGTCTAATGTTGCGGTTGACCAACTTTGCGAACGCATCCACAGAACTGGGCTGAAGACTGTTCGGGTCACTGCCAAGTCACGAGAGGATGTGGAATCCCCTGTGGGTTTCCTTTCCCTTCATGAACAGGTCCATAACAATGACAGCAATATCGAACTTGTCAAACTCAATCAACTGAAGGCTGAGCTGGGTGAGCTTTCTAGCCAAGATGAGAAAAAGTTCAAGCAACTTGTTCGTGCTGCGGAGAAAGAGATCTTGAGCAATGCGGATGTTATTTGCTGTACCTGCGTTGGTGCTGGCGATCCACGCCTCGCAAAGTTCAAATTCCGAACCGTCCTTATTGATGAATCTACTCAATCTGCGGAACCCGAGTGCATGATTCCCCTCGTCCTAGGATGCAAGCAAGTTGTTCTTGTTGGCGACCATCAACAGCTAGGACCTGTTATCATGAACAAGAAGGCGGCAAAAGCTGGGCTCAACCAGTCTCTATTTGAGCGCTTGGTCATCCTTGGATGCGCGCCTATCCGTCTCAACGTGCAGTATCGCATGCATCCATGTCTATCCGAGTTCCCTTCAAACATGTTCTACGATGGATCCTTGCAGAATGGTGTGACAGAGTCTGAACGTCTTCTTAAGGACGTTGATTTCCCCTGGCCTGTGGCGCACAACCCTATGATGTTCTGGTCAAACCTAGGAAATGAGGAAATTTCGGCATCAGGAACGTCATATTTAAATCGTACCGAAGCTGCCAACGTGGAGAAAATTGTTACCAGGTTTTTCAAAGCTGGCGTGAAGCCTTCTAGCATCGGGATTATTACCCCGTATGAAGGGCAGCGTAGTTACGTTGTCAGCTCCATGCAGGCAACTGGCACTTTCAAGAAGGAACTTTACAAAGAAATCGAGGTGGCGTCAGTTGATGCTTTCCAAGGCCGAGAGAAAGATTATATCGTGCTCTCCTGTGTCAGATCCAACGACCATCAGGGAATTGGATTTTTGAGTGACCCACGTCGGCTTAATGTCGCGCTTACCCGTGCCAAATATGGACTAGTCATCCTAGGCAACCCGAAAGTTCTATCGAAGCATCCTCTGTGGAACTACCTTCTACTGCATTTCAAAGAGAAGAACTGCCTCGTGGAAGGGCCGTTGTCAAACTTGCAGGTGTCCCTTGTCCAATTCCCTCGTCCGAAACAGGCCTACCGCGGACCACAGCGTTTCCAGGTGGCTTATAATCACGCCTCTAACATGGCCAGTGGGATGGTCAATGGCAGGAATGGCCATCGCGGTGACTATCATGACACGGGATCTGTGGCGAGTTACATCCCAGATGACGTCTCCTCAGTTCATTCATCCGCTCTCGGAGGGGTTGCTATTCCATCTGGATATCCCCACATGTTCCGGAACTTTGCCGATCCCTGGCCGCAACTTCCAGGCCACCGCCGTGCCAATGGATCTAGAGGTAAAGGCGCGCCTAGCGTTACTGGCGAGTCTGTCGCAGCAACTGAGTCCGATATCACGGGCAGTGTCGTCGGACAAGGCGGCGTTAGCCTCTCCGGTTTAAGCATTCACGATATGAATAAGCAGGCAAGCATGAGCCAGTCTGACCGCTTGAAACGCTACGTCGAATCTGGTGGTCGTGCAGAGCCATATAAACCTGGCCCTAGTGATAACGGCAGCATCTTTGGTGGAAGTTCGGCGAGCATTCGTGTTCCTCGTGGCGGCCGCGGTAACCCAGCCGATGATGATGACGCACGCAGTGTCTCGACAGCTTTTGCAAGTCAAATTGGTGGAAACTACGACTGAGAGCTTGCGAGTCCATGACTATATCACCATCGACAGGAAACTTTACATCTGTTGCAGAAGTAAACGTGAATTTCGCGAGTCACCATCCATGATGAGAATGCGTTGCCTGACGCCCGAACAAGAGCTTTCGAGGCCTGCGGCTCTCTCTTCTCGCCCGTCGCTTTTTTGCACCTATTCGGATACGCTTTTGGTTCGAGAACCAACCACTGTTACTCGACCTCACATTTAGGTCAAGCCGGAATCTTCATGTATTAGTTTCTAACTTACATGCAAGCTACCCATTTGACAAAACACGGTACACATCCATGCAGATGCAATTTGCGACCTGGTTCACGTGCATCCTAGTGGTTTTGATTTAAAGCGAAGTACTAGAAACCCGCTATCAAGTTAGGAATGTGCACGCATGCCATGTGGCGTGGAGGTGGAAAGGCGGGCGGTTAACTGCGGCTCTTGCACACCGCATCTGTGGGTGTGAGAAAAGTTGTAACGCAGCAGCGTATATTTATATTCCTGGTAAGGCTGGTGGATACAACTTCTGTGGCGAAGTGCTCTCCTAGAGAAGTACTTTAAGCAAATGCTATTCTAAGAACACAATTTGAACGTTGATGATGGCGGTTGGCCGGGGGAAAATATATGCGCAAAATTTGTTTATTCTATGCCGTTTTAGTTTGAAATTGGTCGACAATACAGTTATGATTTCTTCAGTATATCTGAAATATTTCAGTAGCCATTCTGTAGTTCCATCATAGTAATAGGGGCATAGGTCATTGGGTGGTGTGGAACGTATATCGACAGGGTATTAGATATCCCGTATCTATATTCTTCTGCATGCTTATAGCAACTCCTGCTAACGTCCTTATCTAGCGGGAGAACTCTCAATCCAGTTTCCCATTTAAATATTATGATTTCACGGTACGGAGTTAGTGAACATAGATTTCTTGACTTCATTGGTTCGTCTCTAGGTGTTCAGAAGTAGATAACCATTATTTGATTTTGCAAGAAAGCTGATGTTCTCCTCGTCTTACATCATTCTACCGGCAATGATAGTTTATTGGTTTGACATTGCCCACTGTTTAGATCTTGGTCAAGACAAAGCAGTGAGTTGAAGACACTAACTAGAACTCTGCCTACGCAGCGTAGCCACTTGACCAGGGCATACAGAGTAGATAGGGCTGAATAAAAGTTATATCATAACTTACGCTTTGTGCGAGGCGGCATGGCGAAAAGCTAACCCTGGTCCGGTCCTTGCCCTAACTAGTTCTAAGGTTTAAGTTACGCCCGCCGCTGTTCGGTCCAGCCTCTAGATACGCAGCGTACGGCCGTGAGGAGAGGAGGGCATCCACATTAACTTATTGGAACCACACCACCCGCCTCAGTTTTAAGCCATCTCCAACAACCCGTCGTATTCCCCAACCAGCTAAATAGTAGTCACTGACTGCAACAACGCGAAGACACAACAAACATACTACACACTCGAGAGAGGCTTACGCAAAGCAAAAGTTCAACCATGAATCCCCCAACCCATTCCCCTCTTGAGATGCCCTCAGAGTCTACCTTAAGAGACGCTGCTAAGCTCTCTGTTTTAGATGCGGATGGGAATGAAGTACTGTTTGGAGATTTGTATAAACCATCGGGACGAGGGGAAAAGAAGCGAACATTAATTATTTTCATTCGCCATTTCTTTTGCGGAGTAAGTTGTTCGCGTTCATTAGTATAGAATTTTCAAATTTGCCCCTGCTCCTGAGTTGCGAGCATAGATCCATCTCCAGGAGAAAGCAGAGAGCTACAAAAGGCCTCAACCTGAAGCTCGTTGTTTCTGTGTTCAAATGGTTTGAGCACATGTTTCGAACAGAACCACTATTTGACTTTTTTCTTTACAGAGCTGTCAAGACTATGTCAAGGCCGTGTCCGAGAGTATTCCAGCGCCATCGCAGTTACCCACCAATACTACTATTATCATCGTTGGTTGCGGCGCTTCAAGTCTCATTGCGACTTACAGGGACACCACGAAATGCCCATTCCCCATATATACAGACCCTACTCGATGCCTCCATGCTTTGTTTGACATGAAAATGACATTGGACGCTGGAGATAACGCTCCAAACTATTCCACGTCCTCGATGTTCTCCTTAGTAATTCGGGGAATTACTACGACCCTTGGCCGATTACTCTCCGGCGATATGCTTCAATCTGGAAACAAATGGCAGAATGGAGGGGAGCTCTTGTTCGAAGCTGAATTCGCAAACGGAGCGGAGGGTGGCGATGAAGAAATTAAAGTTAATGTTCCATTCTGCCATATCATGAAAAACACTCGCGACCACAGTGAAGTTTCGGTTTTGAGAACCATCCTTGGCCTTGATGAGGAACACAGTTGAAAAGCAGATGGATAGGATGGTGCGTTTAGGAATGATCGTTTTTAAGAGACCATGGGCTTTCCCTACTTCCGTCCATGTGAATATTTGTTTCATTTTCTGGGTATCCGACGGCGTGGTTCTTTTCAGTTGTTAAGTTTTTACATGTTCTAAGTTGTGCACGTAATCCCGTTGGCTATTTTCGCTTTTTCGGGTTTCAAAGTCCCAATGTTGATGAACACTTTTTTGTTCGGCTGATGATATTCAATGTTTTCACATGGGTTACAGAGTACATTTCTCTATGCTGTTGGCGTATTCGAACCAATGGAATTATCCTTGGCTCCATAACGCAGCAACTCCAAAAAGAAATAAAAAAAAAGAACAGTAAATTCGACGCGAGCAGGATTCGAACCTACGCCCCCGAAGGGAAGAGATTAGTTAAAGGGTAAGTTAAGTTACTTAATTCTAGTCTCTCGCGTTAACCACTCCGCCATCGCGCCTGTTTCGAGCTACAACCTCTACGTTGTACTGCATTTCTATCATTTCCACCAAGGTAGACACATATTGGCTTTCCATCGCCTGCCCCCAAGTCTTTGGGCATCAACACCCAGGTTCCCTTCTGTTATTCCACGCCATGAAAGGTGGACTTCTGAGCGTGGACTGGTCTGCTGACCATTTTCGATGCCCTCGATATTTTGCTTCTGCAGCTAGAAAAGCTCTCTGCAGCCGAGAGAAGGGTCTATAGGTTGAGAAGTGGCAATGTCGAATATCGAATATAGAAAAGAAAGTCTGTCTAATTACTTAAGGAGGATCGAGAGTGCCGATTTGGACGGACTACAGAATCACCGGGGAGCCTACCTCATTCAAGTCTATATCCCAATTGTATGTCCCTAGCTACCTACGGAACCTGGTCACACCTTGGACGAAAACCATTACATGCAAAATAAACTGGTATCCACCAGGCTGGCATTATTCTTGAGATAAAAAAAGAGTGGAATTACTCTCTGTTCGCCGTTTCGGGTAGCTAGCTATTTGAAACACTACCACAACATGGAAAATGAAAGCAGTACCTAACAGGTTCACCACGGATGGTGGACGAGTTACCGTGGACGACCACCTTTTATTTTTCGACCTCTGATGAGAGTAATAATCAAGTCAACAAATTGAACTCACCTGAGCTTCATTCCAGAAGGGCTACCACTCACCCGCGCAGAAGTGCGACTCTTCACAGTTGCCCTCCTTCCATGCCAGCTCTCCTCTTCTCATCAGCGTGGGCCATGCCGAAAGCATCAGAGGGATAACTATTGTTGGTGCTTGTGGTGGGCCACCGAGGGATCATCAACATCACACAGTATGAATGCTAGCTCAGAATCCAAGAGCGTGGAAGCATTGAGACTGCCTCTGCCATTCTGTAAGTCTTCAAGGTCAAAATGTTAATTCATTGGCCGCGACCTCAACTTCCGGGATACCGATTGCTGCTACAGGCATGCAAGCCGCTCCTTGTGGATTGCGCGGGCCCAGGCCGGCACCAGAGGGTGCCAGGGGAACGCCGGCACGAGGATAAGGAGGCCTACAAATCTCCGTCAACGTCATCATTTATTTGCCACTGCATTGAATTAGTTCTGCGGATGGGCGGTGGGAGGCAGGGGTAGGGTAGGCACCTATTCACGCTGTTGTTAACGGTGGAGAAAAGGGAAGAAGAGATGAGATGAGAGATGAATTTTGGAAAGAGCAGTGGTGTTCGAGGAAGGAGCCACCACTACCTCTAACAAACGGAAGTTGTAACTGCTGAGGAGAGAGACAGTTCTTTCTTTCATTCTTTCCCTGAGGCTGCAAGTGGCCCATCCCAACGGGTCTCTGTCGCAACTTCCTCATCTGAGCTATACAACTGATTTTTCGTCGGCGGCAGCAACGACGCTCGTAGTTACCATTTTTAAGTATGCACGTTTCTAAACCTAACCCTGCGCGTCTATCTTAAAATGCTCGTGCGCTGACAACAAAGATTGTTCGCTATTCATCATACTTACATGTACAGGTTTAAAAACTTGAAATTCGGTGAGATCTATGATACATATATATATATAGAGGATGTTCCGGATATTGACGTAGATTATGCTTTGAGGCTCATAATTCTTTTGGGAATCGGGCACCAAATCCCTTGCCCCAATGATGGTGTTATGCTTAACAACCGATCGTGCGAAGGGTTAGGTGAAATTAGCACTTTGAGGGTTCGGCCCGTTCCTGAAGGCGGGAGGACCAAAATTCCCGAGCCGATGTTGGATGAGCCACCGAATTGCCGAGACTGCCGATCCCGATAAGATCGACTCGGCTGTCCCGCCCCAGCTATAACCCCGCTAGTTACATCATACAAATCTGCGATTCCTGATGCCAGCTTCTACAGATCAAACAGATCAAACTATAAATCAGTCCTGCACTAAAATTTGTCGTGAAACTCAAATTTGCATCGAGGTTGTTGTATATTTCTCGTACAACTGCGGTCGATAACACTTCTTTCTGGAACATTCCCATCCCAAGAGCCAAAAATATTTAAGATTGGAGAAAAGCAAAGAAGAGACCTGGATCAAAGGAAGGAAAAAGGATAGTGGTCCAAATAATTTCAGGGGAGACAGCCACAGTCTTTGTTCTGTTATCCACGGCAATCCCTTGTTCCTCAACCCTCCTCGCCAGAATGATGTCAACCACAAAGACAACCCCCCCCCTTCAACCCCACAATTTACCCAGATCTCAAAGGGAAAGTCGTCCTACTAACAGGCATCGGCCAGTCCGGTGATCCAGACATGTGGGGAAACGGCGCTGCAGCCGCCCGCGTTCTGGCGGCAAACGGGGCCAAGGTATTTGTCTGCGACCTCCACCTTTCCGTAGCACAACACACTCAACGCCGCATCGAGGCAGAGGCGGGTGAATGCACTGTGATGAGCGCTGACGTCACTAAGGATGCCGATGTGACAGCGCTGGTGGATGCATGCCTGGCGCGCTATGGCGGGCGCATCGATATCTTGGTCAACAACGTCGGACGATCGGAGCCTGCGGGGCCTGCGGAAATGTCTGAGCAGTCGTGGGACAGCCAGACGACCGTCAATATGAAATCGGTGTATTTGTGCTGTCACTACGTGTTGCCGATAATGGAGGGGCAGGAGGGCGGTGGTCCGATTGTCAATGTCTCCTCGATTGCGGGGATGCGCTATATCGGCAAGCCACAGGTCGCTTATAGTGCGATGAAAGCGGCGGTGATACAGTTCACGAAGACCACTGCTGTCATCTATGCGAAGAAGGGTGTTAGGTTGAATGTGGTAGTGCCTGGTTTGATTCATTCGCCACTTGTCGGATTGCTGGCGGAGAAGTATGCCGGGGGGGATTTGGAGGGATTCGTCGAAAAGAGACACCAGGCTTGTACCGATGGGGAGGATGGGAGATCCGTTTGATGTTGCGTATGCTGTGGTTTTCTTGGCTTCTGAGCAGGCCGAGTATATAACTGGCCAGAAAATCGTTGTGGATGGGGGGATCACTGCGTCGACGCGTTAGCTTGGTAATGCTATTAATAATTGTGTTAACACCGCTTCAATATGATAATTCGAGGGGTTTGATCTGGTGGACGCTCGCACCGCTATAGTCTGAATGACGTCTGAATGACCAAAAAGGCGAAAGGTTTTCAAAGCTAGCATCATAAGGCAATGCGCGTACAATGCAAGTATCCGGTAGCCCCGTTTACGAGTAGAATAGACATCATCGGTACGACCGTGCGTATACAAAGGCATATATTCGCCTTGAGTATTGTTCATCCACAGCTCCGATTCCCCCGAAGCTACCTTGCCATGAGATCAAACAGCAAGAATAACCAAGTTCAACAAATAGAGAGGGCTTAAGTGGACAGAAAAAAGAAAGTATGGCATAATAATGTAAATACTTAAAAAACTATTCTCCGGAATGGTATGGTATAGCACATGAGTTAAAAAACGAAGAAGAATTTAACAATACATCAGAGATATCAGAACGATAGTAACAAAAGACCGTTTACGTAACCTCCAGCAATCCATGTGGATGATGAACGCAAGTAGAAAACAACCAAGGAAAGGGAAAGCTCATTACCCATATGCTTTACTGCCTGATTATGGAAATAAAATGAGACATTTGGCCGTTGACAATCACAATCGTGCTGGAGAGAAAAATAGAAAAGACAAAGAAATAAGCAAGGCAATCCCTTGCCAAACACAGCGTGTTCCCATTCTATCCGTATCTTTCCCGTAGTATGCAAATTGAAGCTTCGAAGTAATGTTATTGATACCAGATTTGATGTCAAACTTCCTAATCTGAAATAATTTCACAGGCAAAAAAGGAGAGGAAAACAAAGGGAAAAAAACGCCTTTCCGGTTTAATTTTGAGCTAGCATTATGCATGTCGTCAAGTGTCGTCAAGTGTATCGTCTATGGAAGGATTGTGTAATGAAGAGTCGAGCCAGTCGAGTCCAATGAGACCCATTCCCAAACACCGTTTGGGGGTGGAAAGTAGATGGCGAAAATTGCTTTTTCGCGATTTCCATTTCATCTGTTATGGTAGAGATGGAATAGTGCAAGAGGAGCTATCGGTGGAAGAAGACCTTTTATTTCGGGGATGAGAGTCTTCTGATTTTTGAGGTGCGTCCTTACCCTTCCCCCGATCCCGATCACTGTCCCTCTCCTTGTCCCTCTCGGTAGGTGATGTGCGTTTTGACAATGTGTGTCTAATTTGCCTGATTATGCCCTTCTGATCCCCTCTCCACCCTTCGAAACCAGCTCGCCGGACTGGAACAGGGTCGAATTTGGTGATTTTGCAGAATAGCGTCGAGAATAGATATTGGTCGCCGCTCGCATCATAGAGAGGTAGATATCTGTACCCTTGTAAGAGACTACTCAATTTTGCGGTAAAAGTGGCAGGCTGCACGCTGTTGTTACCACCAAAACTTCGTCCGTCGGGGGAGTTGCGGACGACCCAACGGACGAAGACGAGATCGGGGTACTTTGTCTCTAGGGATAGTTTAAATTGGTCGTTAAACACTGGATTGTAGCCATTCTGCTGTTCGATTTTTGTCCGACGGCGATGGGGTTGACCAATACCAGACATGCCGTTGCGGGCAGAAGTATTAACACCGCCTTCGCCGAATGCGAGACCTTTCTTTTTGTCATCGGCACAAAACAGCTCAATTTCAACGTAGGGGTTGATACTATCGTCGGGACCCATTCCTTTTAACCTTGGCAGTTGCTGTGCGGATATGATATCTACTGTGAACGTAACTAATTTCCTATCAACCTTGGGTTTTGAGTCGCAACTTAGAGCAATGTACCTGGGAGAGGGGGATGTCCGTAGACTATCCGGCTTCAGAACGTAACCAGTCTGATCGCTGCCAGAAGCAAACATTGCTTGGTTCATCTGCATACCGACGTCGTAGGTTTGCCAGTTCATTGCTACCATTTGCACGCCTCGTCTCCAGAAGCTATTCGGATCAAAATTTGATGAGCGAACGCGAAATTTCGATGGGTAGACGCGCGTAATGAAAGATCTATTATGGGCTTCGAGCAGTGCTTTGTTCTCCGAGTCTCCACATAACCGTTCGAAGGCTTTTTCAGCGAAAGAATATACATGATTAAACCTCTTACTTTCCGGAGAATTGAAGCTGTGGAACTTATATCCCCGGGAGTATACACCAAGCTCAGCGAGTTCTCTGGTTATTCGACTTTTTTGTCTTCTTTTTTCTTTCCTCGTCGATGTTAGGAGCTGGCCAACATCGCTGTCCTCGGATGCACTGCTGATGCTTGTGGTGGTAAGTGATCTTCTTCCAGCGGTCCAAGATGGCAAGCTACCAGAATCTACCGAATGGCTTGTCTGTGAAAAGGGCATCGATATACTATTGCTCTCTGGGAGAGTATGCCGAATAAATGGCGAACTTGAGCTGCGCTTGCGGCCCGTAGTGTGTGTATGAGAAGAGGTCAACAGCTCCTCCTCGTCCGCGGTTTTGACTTTTATTAGGATGCGATGCTTTAGGTCATCTGGGGAAGGCAAGATCGGACAGTTGGTCAAGAGAGGCTGGAGAACAAGCTTGTCTCCAAATGTCTCCTTCATGATTTCCACCATCGCTAGTTGTTGGATTGGGGAGCAATGAACCTCAAGCGAAAGTATCAATGGGTATTCAGACGCTTGAAAAGCATACCGGTTGATAACATTAATGCAGTCTGCAAATAAAACACTTTTCGTCATGGTATGGCCATGTGAGACAGTGGGACGACCATCAGCGCCATCCCAGCAGTCAATCTCCACGCAGCGGCAACCATTTTGAAGAGCGGTGATGTAGGCTTCCGTGCTAGATTCCCCAACAACCTGTCTTCCGAGTAAATACGTGTTATGTGAACTCGAGATGAAGTATTCGTTGAGGGGCCTATCAAACTTTGGAGGGGAATATCGTATTAGGTGTACGCTATTTTTAGGAGAAATTAAAAAAGCCGAAAAAGCGTCCAAGTCCATCCGAGAATCTGGCGAATTTCGTGGTTCTGGCCGTTGTTTGGAGTTGCGGGAGAAGGATTCGAAGGTTGAGCACCAGTAGTTTCTATTCTCTTCCACATTTTCGCGTTGAACTTCGCGAAGAAAATGAAGGAACTCGTCCAGTGTTAGCCCCTGCACGGGGTCTGCTGCGACAGAACGAAATATTTCTCGGATATCCTTGCGGTCTCTCAGTCGCTGAAGGAAGTCTTTAAATTGTGCAAAATTCAAACGGCCTTTGCCTTCGGTATCTGCTTTTGTGATCTGAGCGCGCAGCATATTTTTAGAGCAATTGATGTGTAAACTTTGACACAAGGCTTCAATAGCGTTCCGGTCAAGAGATTCTTCGCCAGGCTCTAGCACCCGCCGAGAAATTTCACGCTGCCAGTGGGCTTTTAAGACAGTGTCACTTTGAGTTCCAGCCAAGCCAGCCATGAGACCGATACGATATCTAGAGATATCGTCCAAGATGTTGGTCCAGAGTTCCAAAGTGGCTTCATTCGGGGCGATAAGGTGCATGGTTTTTATGGGCTTGTTTTTGGACTGCTCAGGATTTGTGAAAATAATCGTGAACCACAAATTTTCGAGATTCTCAGGGATATCATGCTCCTCCCGGTAGTTACGAGCATCCAGACCTGTGCGTATTTCCTTAATATCATCGATATAGAGTCTCTTGGCCGGATTTGACAAATCCCAATAAACCTTGGCGGCATGTAAATCGAGGAAAAATGTAACTCTCTTTCTCTTATGTTTGGTGACTTTGGTCAGAGGAGAGCCACGATGCAAAATTAAATCCAGCTCGGGCGCAGTGCACGTATGGGTGGCAGTGCCGGACATATTGTATCCATTGGTGGTACTATTTGTTTCAGGCTTACACCACGTGCCGCAACCCTCTTCCTCTTCTTCATAGCTTGAATCCAGACCACTATCCCGAGATGTTGTCGTCCCAGTTTTGCTGTCACTTCTCCTGCGCATAATAACAGGACCAGAGCTGTTGTCTCGCTTGTCATGGTGAGATGTCGACTGTCTCCGCCGACTCAGTTTGTTTGCAGTTCCTCTAGATAGCCTTCTCATAAGCCCAGGAGCTTTGTTGGAAGTTGCATTGTTCCCGATACCATCTATACCAGATGGAGGGGCATTGGGGTATGTAGGAAATGCCATAACACTCTCGGGAAGTTCAAGGGGGAGGGGAGATCCAAGCGCAAAGGTCGGGCTGAATGTATTGCGGACGGCAGGATCCCGCGAGGAATCGGCTGAGCCGTTGAGAGAGAAAGTGGAAGGACTAGGCGCGCTTGAGAAATGAGTAGGAAGGCCAGGAGAACTTTTTGATGGCCCTGAAGGACCAAATCCGGAAACTGAGGGAGCAGTTGAACTAAGGGTCGAAGAAGACAAAACATCTTGAAAGGGAATTCTGCGGGGGCCCTGGGAAGGGGAGGAGTTCAATCGAGAATGGGAGTTGTCTTTTAAGGTAGAGGGGGACGGCCACCCGCCAGATGCCATTACAGACAGCCGTTATAAAAAGTGGGGCGAGGACTGGCGCACGAGACTCTGCAGGGACTACAGATGAGCGGCTGATTTTCAAGGTGTACCAAACTTCAAATCGTCGCCGTTGATGGCTGTGCAAGGCAAATAAATGAGAATGAAGTGGTGTAGAAAAGGTAAGAGGCCCAACCGTATTGTTGTTCTGGTTTGTTTCCCGAACAAGCCAAGCAGCAGTTCGACTGGCTGGCGTGTTAAGGAGGGCAGCGATTGAGTGTCGTTGTATCAAAGGCGTGCCTACCAAGTTTGCCGAAATTTTGATACCTGCATATTGACCTGCAATATAATGCGTAATGATCTTCTAGAGGCTGCTTGCGAATGATTTGGCGCCTACTGTTCGGTTTGAGCGGCACCCGGACCTCTAACAGCTGCTCTTCTTTTATAAAAAACAAATTGAAAGGAGGGGGAAAATAAAAGCAAACGTTTGTTGCCTTTATCACCTCGCTTGTGCTTGTCCCCGGTTCTGCCTCGAGGTTTGCTTAGCTTTTGCCCTCCTCTTATACCTTCCGGCGTAATTTCTCGCGGTCGACAGAATCGACTGTGGGGGGGCTCTTCTTTGATAGGGCGGCAGTTGATCTGCAGGGTAGAAGGGGAGGCGGCAAGGTATCCAATCGAGCTTGTAGATCGCCACAGAGAAAAATGCTTTGTGGCTGAGTATGAGTATCTTTCACTCGTGGTAAAAATAGGAGCGCTGGGGAAAAAATGAAGCGTTGATGGCGGGAGAGAGGAGATTGGAGGTAGGAATGAGAGCCCAAGGCCCCTCCTTTTATCTAGCTAGCAGCTCTCTCACAAGGCCTATAGTTTCGGGCCCTGCAAAGTTATTTTGACCAGTCTCCAGATAGGTCTTTGTGAACAGGGACTCAATCCCCAGAAAACTCGCTGAGGCGGCGTGCGCCCAGCTATTGCAGCGCGAAAATAAGGGTGTCAGGGATTGATACGTCGGAGAGCAGCTGGAGCCGGCTCTCAACGAATGGTTGTAGCTCCCAATGCAGTCCACGGGCTTGAGCTATGCAGGTGAGTTCTTGGAGGAAAGGGAGGAGGGTTTTGGCGTCTTGGTCAAACGGGGTAGATGTTTCGACGATCACGGCGAGGAGGCGCTGCTATTTTGGCGGTGTTTGCTGCAAGGGTCGCGGGGTCGACTTATGCGTGCGCGACAGAGCTAGGAAAGTACAGTAAGGAGCGATGGAGGGTGCAGGAAGCAGATGTATCTTGAGCCCAGCAGAGGCACAACATGGAGGAGAGGGAAAATCAGCAGCAAGGGAGAAATAAATAAAAACGGAGAGGATTGGCAGCGGGATTGAATAGTTAGTTTTTTTAGCAGTTTTCGCAGTGGGATCAAGGATTAATTTCTGCTTTCCCCAGTCGACGTCGTCGTGCATAAGATCGTGAGCTGTGTCGTACCGTACCAATACCGCGATTCTGATACGGTTGCGTATTGACAGCCTGTATGGTATGGGTATGTATGTATCCGGGTATTATTTCCAATTTCATACTATGTACGGAGTACAGTACTGTATAAGTTACCGATGACTGTCTTTCCTCCATTAATAATAATTATATCTACGGATGGATCACTTACTCACGATTCCGGCTTCAACGACGAAGTAGCCGCCTGCTTGGGCAGAATTCAAGAGCAGTCACTTCTGCAATAATAATACAATGAGAAAATAAATGTCGAAATCTTACCACTGCATTCTGAGCTTGCATAAATTTCGCAAACGAGTGGCGTGAATGAACCACATAGTACAGCACCGATTTTCGAGAATGGGCATTCCGCCTGCCTATCACTTATCATTTACAAGCAACAGCTCCTCCGTTGTTTCATGATCCTTCCACTGGCTCTGCTTGCGGGTACATTATTCACCCAACTACCAATATCATCGGTAACTTTGTGTGTGTATGTGTGTGTGTGTGTGTGTGTGAGAAATTCAGGTCTCACATGGGTAGGGTAGGCAAAGTCTCACCATTGGCTGCCAATCGAATACCGGAATTGGGAATATCAATGACCTCCCCCTCCCGTCTTTTCTATTTTCTTCCCAACATTGCAGCCTCGTAAAGGCTAAGTCGGGCTCAGGCGCCTTTGCCCGGCAGCATCCAAATCCAGGAGAACCAACTTTCTTGGTCGTGGTTAAACTTCCTTTTTATCTTAAACTTTCGGAAACGAAATGGCGGTGGAGTCCTTACTCCCAAGCACCAACGCTTATCAGGTGGGACTTTTTGAGATCAGCTATCCCCGCAACGAATTCCATCATTGTTCCTGGTCTTTGGGGGCTGTGACTGTGGCTTATTAATTCTCCCAATTGGCCATGAGGAACAGACGCTGTTGGGTGCGAATCATCATCCGGGCCAAGAGCCTTTTTTTTTTTTTTTTTTCTTCTCTGTTTCAATCCCTCGCCAGCCTTACGGACAAGCACTGATAGCGGTGCTTGGCATGTCTTGGGCATCCGGACGCCTGGGAATTTTGGTTTGTGGGAGATCGAATTAGGATTCCACGGCCATCAGGTGAGCTCTTGTTGAGTAGATTTTTTTTTTTTTCAGACGAAAGGGTAGAAAAAATAATTGTTTATTTTGAGTCCAGGAGGTAACTACCTCACAAAATTTTGTTTCTCAACCATCACCGAGCCGATCATAGAGAGGACTCCTATTTGGTTGTGTTCGCTCAATCATCTTTCCCCCTTCCCCCCCGTGCCAGCCCCGTGCCAGGAGAGTTTTGCAGGACCTGAGGAATCATACCAGCACCCAAAGTCAAGTTCCCCAGACGATTTCAACGCTTAACTGGGCGTTCTCCTGTTGGCCCGACCATTCGATTTTGGTTTTGTTCCTGGTTCCACCTTCAAGCTGCTGATCCAGGATACAGTCTCAACCGACAAATTAGCATCCCTTTCTCCCACGAGGGATGAGTAGAGGGTGGGTAGTCGGAACGGGCTCTTGACGTTGAAAGAACTCTCATTCAAGTAGATACAATACCTCACCAGTCAGCCAATAATGGCGCCCGTCAGCCAACAACCGAAGAAGCTGTAACTCTATGGAACGCTTGTCCGAGCCTGTATTACCGGGGTTGTATGCAATAATCTTAAGTCTCACGTGCTGTAACAATACGCTCTCCGCCATACGCGTTACGTACTGTACATACAATGGCTCTCTACCCATAAACATTAATTCCCCCCCCCTTCGATCGTTGAATATAGCGGCTTGAGCCGAAATGACCAAGAGACACCAAGAAACGTGGCATGAAAGGCAATCTGCCGAATCAGAAGAGCCAACCCGTCGCGCCCGCATACACTTCGGATGGGCCATCAGCTCCGCCTGGGATAAATATAGATCGAGAAGATGCTCAGATGCCTAACTAACTATCTCAAGGACAGTTTCTGAGAAAAAGAATACCGTCCTTCGCGCGACCGACCGCCTTCTTCCCATGACATCATAGCGGCCGTCGTTGATCTATGCGGCATAGTCGTATCAACAATGAAATCTTACAGTGGCCTAAACAAAAAAGGTTGAAACTTTTGTAACTTCCAGTCAAATTACACTAATCCCAAAGTAGGTTGATGCATAGTAATTAGTAGAAGTTATAATAGAGTTGCATAATACACATTCATTTACCCCTATTTCATTTTTCTCAAGATAATACTCTCTCTATATTCTTTTTTCTTCAAATTAATGGAATCTCCATTATTCCATTATTCCATAATATTGAGTAGAATCATACCTCTGCAGTGTATATATAATGAATGCGCGTGAGTATCAAATAAACAGTGCATAGACCAAACTGCTTTGAAACTAGTGCAACTTATTGTGCGGCACAGTATTATTATTATCGAACAGTTTCCGATGGCCATGTACGGAGTACATATGTACGGAGTACTGTACTGTACTCCGTACATACGCTGCGAACATCTCGCTCCATAAACATAAAACACAGAGAGATGTGATATATTCATGTGTTTATACTGCTCCTTTCGGTCATCAGGCTCCCCTCGACGGGTTTCTACTTGGAATATGCGCGTGCATGAGCTGACAACAGCACTTGGAATAATGCCTGTCCATGGCAGGCTGACAAGATGCGGGGCAATGAGACTAGGTTGTCGGCATCGTCGTCCTGCTGCACTCGAAAACCCGGCCGCAAAGAATCCCACGCCTTGAAATGCGAGGTTTCGGGGACAATGTTCGGGATTTCTCCTCCATCATATTGGTGGCTGCCCCGCCCTTCCTCTAGAACTGGTATTTTGTCCCCTCATCCGGTAATAATGATTCTAGCAGTAACCTACGATTCATGATCTTTGCCTTGTTCCTTTTTAGCAGAAGCCAAAATGAGAAAAAAAAAAAAAAAAAAGAAAAAACAGAAGTATGTACATAAATTTATTGAATATTCAATAATTGTACAGCACTGTCCTTAACTACACTCTCCCGAGCTTATCCAGACGTCCACTACGGAGTACATATTCACACATTCCAGATATGATATCCGCCATCCATTCAGCACAACATAACCACATAACCCCTTTTCACCTCTCTTTGGACGTTCTCCCAATCTGACGCACTACGCTGCGTACTGTGCAGAGTGCCCCAGCGACCTATACTCTGTACAACCCATCCACCCGCCTTTTGACAACCCCGCCTAATTATGCACACCCCTCCATGTGCATGGTGCAGGATGTCCCTCCACGTCCGTCCGCCTGCCCATTTTTCAATTATTAATAACACTTCGCAGCACAACGCCTGCCTATGTGAGACTGAGCTAGGCAAGATAGAGCCGTTCAAGACCCAGCTATGAGTAACCTACTTCAACAGGTTCCGATCTTTAATACGACCTTCCCTAATTAATATCGACCCTCCTCCTCCACGTTGACTTCGTTACAACCAACCCCGGACATGCACACTCCCGAACAAGCCACTCATTATTGTTGCGCCACTTCGGTTTGCTTTTGCCTAGCTTTATCACCGGTGGTGCGTCAGGAATGCCCTGAGAGGCATTCTGCAGAATGAGGCTACCGATTGACGAGACCACCCCCTCTCCCCATTTTTCACTCTTTTTATCCTTTTTCTTTTCTTACCCTTTGCTGAATACTTGCGCAAACCTTAACTGCCTCTTTGCTTTCTAATTTTTTTTTATTGCCCTTCACCGCAGACACAATATTTCATTATTCTGGGCACATGTAGCCGCCTCAAGGCAACCATTGCATGCATGAAACATGCAAAAGATATTCATCCCACAAATGCTAGGGGTTCAACCACGATTTCACGAATATGCACGAACTCCTAGAAACTAACTAGATACGAGATACTGCCTGCGTGCGATGACAGAGACGTTTAGTGTTTGCCTTATTTCCATATGATTGTCAGCGACGCACCCGCTTCTCTACTGCATACGTATATGTACTTGAAAATAAATTGAGGCTCGAAGTACGCTGTGTAGGTCCACATAAAAGAACTATGATATTGGCGCATACAACGACAAGGGGGTTACTTCTTTTGCTTTTGGCAGCTCCGCTCAGCAGCGGGTAAGGCAACCCGTCCCAACCCTTTGACCTTCAGAACCTTCGTGTCTGCATGCATCTATGCCGCCAGCTCCGCTCTTTAACTTTTCGTCTTCCTTTTCAAATTTGCACGGCTTTATTTTCGCATGGACGCCCCTCATCGGATCTGCAGGACATCAAAATTCCCCGAGAAGTTCAGTACGGTCTCTGAAGCGGTGAAATTTACAACTTGGAATAGGCATCAAAGATTTCACTCTGTTATCTTCATTTGTAACCACCCCCGCCCCTTCTCTCTCCTTCACTGGAGAGCGGCATCAGCACAGAAATCGGACATCTTTCCAGCCTCCCCATGCTGTGAGGATTTATGAAACTGCCACCGAAGCTCGGTGACGCATACGTGGCTACTCGTACGTAGGGAGCCAGGTTCCTAGGTGAAAGACTACCACGTCCATCTTTAATCAGCATCTACCTCCCAATGATGACAGGAACCGCACGCCAAGGGGGCCATACTTCCGGAGCTCTCAAGGCATCATATCCCCTTCTCCGCCTGTTGGTGATCATCCCAGGCGTATCTGACTTAGCGTCCTCAGCAGCGTCGTCATTTTGTCACCCCCTTCGGACGATAAGTCTGCAACCTATCTTGATAGGTGGATGGACCAACGGATGACATCCTCGAAAAGAACAGGATTATCCATATAGCTACCGCTGGAAGACGTTCTATTATGCTCTCATTTCCCCTTCTCGTCAAGGGGGTCTCTATAAGTTATGGAGTGTTTTCAACGTCGTTTGCTTCCCTTATACGTTTGTTTGGCCCAAAACGAGCACTTTCTCGTCAATGCATGATCAAACGTGGCTTTTCGGCTGACGGAACACGCAAGATGGTTCCGGGAGCTACACAAAAGCCTGAAGGAAACGAAGCGGAAGAGATGTGTCACCAAAAAAAAAGGGGAAATAATGATCACCCCTTGTTTTCCCGGCCAATGCACATGTGTGCCAAAGGGCGCATGCAAAGCATGTATCGTATGGACAGATTGCGTGTATGTATATATGCGCATTCACTAGCAGCGTGCATCGTGATCGTCCTCCTGGATCATAACAGTTGGAAGCATGTACAGTGCATTCCATACTGTGGTTGAGGTTGCGGGAATGATGGCTAATGCTGATTTCAAGAACTGCACGGCACGCGAATACGAAATCGACGAAAAGGCGATGTAAATGAAACTCTGCTTCGTCAAATTACATCTCATATTTCGAAAGCATGCAGCAGGTGCCGTGCTCTACGCATGTATGACTTCAAGAAGGGTACTCGATATTATCCGGCACACCGCTATCCATGAATTTTTGTCCATAATCAGAGCACCCCATCCAACCTTGAGTGTTATTTACTGTACACACTTGATCAGCAAACCTCCTTGTTCAATTCCGATCTCACTCGTCACCATATTTTCGATCGGGTTTCGTTAAAGCTCGGCGTAAGGCTTCCTTTGTACTATCCTCTAACTACAGGATAACATGGTAGCGAGGTATTGGGAGGCCGATGCTGATAATGAATGAGAGAACTCAGTGGTCCTCGTCGTCCTTTTTTTCGTAACTACTAAATACCATGATGTATTATTCTTTCGACCATTTGATAATTATACAGTTAACGACTTGGTTGTGCTTCCTAAATGCAATCACAAAAAAGTATCCTACGGTTATTTTGATTCGCAAATGGCAGACTGCGGAACCCCATGCTGACAATCATTATTATTGTCATTCCGAGAACTTGACAAGAGAGCCTGACTTTTCCCGGGTCACTGGCGCCTCGGCAAGTTTAGGTTTCTCAACCCCAAGGGCTTTCCATGCAGCATTCAAGAACAAAAGCATGCAGGGATCCAGGGGGTATCAAGGTTCTACCTGCTAGCGCAGCGGCTCTGATGAGCTGGGATTATTATTATGATTATTATTAGGGTTATTCTTCACCCATCGGGTTCAAAATGTGTGTGCAAGTAACTAACGACCTAGTAAGCTCTCAATCAGCATTGACTCAAATTTAGTTCTTACTTCACCGAGAAACTCGCATGCGGGATGAAGCTATCCATGTATTAACGGACATGCTCCCACAAAGGGGAAAAGAGCACACACCACACACCACCCACCATGCTGCTCATGTGTCGCTCATAAAAATCGTTTTTGGTCCCTTCTGCGGGAGCGATCGTGGTTGCGACCGGGAAGTTCCTCTCAGCCTCAAAATGGTGTTCACACCTGGAGGAGCTGAAGACAAAATTACTAGTTATTATTCATACGAAGCTGGCGTGCTACCGGTGAAACATCCGCCGGGTTCCAATGATGCATCTGACCTTATGCCTACCTCTCTCTGTACATGAGCTGTACATCTTGCCTCACTCTTCACTTCCCCTCTCCGCTCCTTGCGAGTCTGTTCTCTCGTCTCCCCCCCCATTCAGCTTCATACATAAGCGACATACTATGTAATTTTCAACCGTGAAGTTTTGGAGCTTTCTCCACTTAGCCAGCTCTTGGGCCCCTTCCAACTCAGCAACCGCTGAGTTTCCCCCTACCCTCCTGCGCCACAGCGCTAGCGCCCTCAAACCATTGTCAAGCCCCATGAGCCCCACCAACGGAGCCCCTCACCAGCAGCGGAGGAACAGCGATGCGATGTGGCTTCACATGGTGTGAGCAGTCGGTTGATTGGATGGCTGCTTGCTGCTTGCATACTTTCGCTGCATGAAAATTGCAACCGTTGGGGATATCTGTGGTGGAGCGTTTTGCGGCGGTAAGAGATCAGTTTTACAGTACCATACAATGATTCAAGTCCTGTTTCCTCGAATACAGATCGTAATAAAAACAAATACGGTGCGTGCAGCTCTGAACTGACGGTATGAGCTGTATCCATCGTATTTCGAGGAGAAATAAATAGCACGGCATTTTCGAGAGAGCCCCTCAAACACTCCACGAGCATGAGGAGAGGGGACTCGGGAAATGGTTGGTTAGTGATGAGAAAAAGTTGGCCCTGGCAAATGGAAAGCAGAACGTCAACTTCATCGAACTCCGCTAACTACTTACTTCTCTTGTCGCAAAAAAAAAAAAAAAAAAAAAAAAAAAAAAGGATGGAATGCTGAAACAACCTTCACCTATCAAGAGAGATTCCCGATTGAGCCGGTGGTACCCAGCCAGCTGGAACCTCAGCGCATCCAGAGATTCTGTCGTCATATCTGTCCCATGTGCTCCAATGAGAGCGCCGTGCAGGCACTCCGCGATGGTTGGCAAACATGCCCTAATCCCCAATTTCCTATTTCCCCGCAGGTGGTATTGCCACGTTACTTCTTTGTTTCCGTCCTCCCTATTATTATCTCACTTCCAGAGGGAAGGAAGCAGTTTGTCGGCCTCGCTTCTTATTGGTTTGGACCTGGCTCTTCTGCTATAGGGCTTTTGAGTCACTGAAGTCCTGTTATTTGGACATTCACTGTGGCATATGTGGCTGTTCAACTCAATAATATGAGGATCTACTCCGACTAAACAATCACGGCGAGGAGGAACATGTACACGAGCTTCCGCCTTTACGCAGTAGATTTGGACCGTTGCCCCTGAATCTGTGGGCTTGTGTTGATGTTTCCATGTTGATGTCATCATTGTAACAGAATGAAACACAGCATGGACAATCACCTACGGGGACACATGATAAAGCATACTGGTGTAGGTTCTTTTTTTCCGTTTGTGGTATGCAGATAAAGCCAAGGACACTTTGCCCTATCAACAGGCGCCTGTTCTCAATCGCATTACTTTCCATTCCCCAGTCCGCGTGATCCTTATAAAGCTGTAGCCAGTTGTCGAGTGCCAAATCCGCTTTCGGCGTCACATTAGATCTATGCCGCTATCCATCTTGATCGTCATGGATAGGTAAAACCTGCATCGATATTTTCCTCGATAATATATATATATATATATAATTTTGGCGGCTTCCGCGGCGGACAGGGTTGTGCGATGTGACTTGCTGTACATTGGAGGCCTGGGGAAGCTAATAGGCATGGGTGTGTGGCGAGCCTTCTTTCCTGACTCTTTACGGAGATAGACGCGGAGGATTATTTGTTCATTATTGGGCCTTTGTCCTTCTTGAGGCCCTGACGAGCCTCTGATGCTGGCAATATGTTTCAATCATTTCATCTTCGTGTCGGCTTGCCAACTTTCCTATATTTACAAAACTGTGATAACGCGAACGCAAATTATATTAACCAGTAATGCTTGTTGCCATTCTCCTCTAGTTATTAGAAATTTCTAAAGCTGCGTCCTTTCATAAACATGTCATAGAGTCCTTGGCTATGTCTTGAGACCAGAAATGTGAGATATTAACTTGTCGCCAGTGACACAAGTGTTTAAACTAAAAGGTAAGGAGAGCATAACACGGTAAAATCGGCTTCTCTAGTCTGGCAAGAGTAACACACATGTAGAATGAAATTTCCAAGGCGCATGTGAATACTAACTACTTGGTGCTCTTAGATTGCAAAAGTATGCATATCCTGCACCCAGAATCATGATAGAAAATCTCAAGTCTTCAGCTGATAGCATCTACGACGCAATTCCTAGCCGGCATCAACGAGCTATAGCCATTAAAGGGAAAGTAATTGTGCGGGAGCGGGAGGCTGCAGGCTCATACAGGAAAATGTTAAGGCCCGGTCATCAGTTGGCAAAATGTAGGTAAGGTTCGCATAATGCATATGCACGGCATTGGAATGAACGTGTATGGCCACTCAACCACAACCTTTTGCAGAACATAACCTATCAAGACGAGGAGAGGAAAGAAATATTTGGATATCTCCTCTTTGCCAAGTGTGCGCGGTCATAAGTTAGCAAACAAGCGAGGTTGGATGAACCAACAAACACGTCAAGTAATCTCTCACTCCTTCAAACCAAGTTGATATCCCGGTTCAAATGGCAGACGCCAGGTGATTGCCCCTCAGCCAGCTGATAATGTATTCGATAAAACGCACAGACTGACCCCATTTAGGGAACATGGTAAGACGTGTCATTGCAGATCAAATAAGCAAAACCCCAACCAACCGGTAAGCCAGGTCAGAAGCTGTGGTGCCTTGCAACCTGATGCTAGAATGTCACAGTCAGAGCTGGAGTTGCATCGTTCTATGATGCTTCGAGAAGAAAAGAGCCTCTTCGCCTCAGCCGGCGGCAGCCGGCCCACCGACGCAATTATGGCTGCACTTCTTCTCTCAGCTCATAGCCCACCTAGAGGGAAGCCCAGGGTGGTTAGGATGCTATGTCCCAAGAAGGTGAAGTTCCATGCAGGAAGGCTAGTCAGAAGGAGTGCCTCAGGATCGCTCAGCCAATTCGTATTTTGCTTGGTAAGTCATGAAGCGCGTGAAAAGATACAACGAGTATTTTATTTCGGAGGCTCTTCCGGCCTATATGCTGAACCGAAATCCCTAGAGGAGCATTGAAAGATGCTTTTCTTACTCCGTTTGTCATTAACATGTTTTTTTGCGGGGTTGGACGTCAGGTCTCAACTTTTCGGCGTTAAGCATTCTGCCATAATCTCATGTCCCAAAACCGTTCTGAAGCGGATAACGTAACTACCGCAAAAAAAAGAATAAACTGATGGTCTGTCCAAATTCACATGACAAAGTGAGTGGGAGAAGGCATGCTATATGGCTGAGAAACAGGTCTACTCTATGGGATAGTTACCTTATAACGGCCTGCCGTTTCTTGAATTAGGAAGAGCACACACTATCGCTGCCAAAGATAATGCCATCGATCTGCCGAATCGAGATGAATCCATCGTGCTGGTAAGTTATGCGGCGCATGAGCAACAAGGAATTCTTCGATACCTAGGTACTGTCAATTAGGGTTCTGCCCTAGCTAGCCCTAATCGTTCCCATTTAGCCTATCTCGGCCTCATAGCAGCATCCTGCATTTCTATCATCCTCAACCGAAGTAGCTCCACTGACTTTGGCAGTAAGGAGAGGTCCTTTGAGATAATGTGCCTCCCGAGTTTATTAGCGTTCCTAGCCCTAGGGCCCTTCGCGACGCTATTATGGGACCCTTTTTGTTTAGATTCGGGATTGTGGACCAAATGCCTTGGAGGTGGAGGCCAACGCCTGAAAGTTTTGATATCTCCGCATTCTTTTCAATTTTGATTCTATCCCTTTTAATACTTGATGATAATGCTATCTTACTCCCAACGTTTATTCGCATTCAATTCTGCATGCACGTCATTTTTCTGACGTTGATCCAGGTTGATATTTTGTCTTGTGCCGATTCGATCGTCGCGGCAAATAGGGAGGACATTCACCACGTCAAAGTTGTCCGTTAGCGGATATAATTTTTAATTCAGCATTATCATTATCCTTTTGGATCGTAAAAGATACGACATGCAGGAATCGGGGTTGAAGACCACGCCTGCAGAAGAAAGTAGGAATGACCAGCAGAAGGAGGATCCAATTACGACCGCTGAATTGGCCATACTGGCACAGAAAAAGCTCCCTAAGCAAGTATGGGACTATTATGCCTCCGGAGCGGACGAAGAGAATGCATTGAGGAGGAACAGAAGTGCATTTGACAGGTTCGGATAATTTTTCCTTGATGTTCATATTTCATTTGGGACCTTGCAATGGAATTACACCTGCCGAGCCCTATATCCGAAACTTTACTGAGCATTTTTTACAGATTACTCTTACGGCCCAGGGTTTTTCGAGATGTCTCTCATGTTGATACTAGCACTATCATATTTGGCAAAAAGTATCGAATCCCGATTGGAATTTCGCCTAGTGCAATGCAACAGCTTGTGGGTGGTAATGGGGAAATTGATATGGCCAGAGCGGCAGCTAGTCGGGGAACCACCATGATCCTATCATCGCATACAACATGCACGTTAGAAGATGTCATTCAAGCACCAGGTGGAGGCAACCCAGTGGATTTCTGGTTCTAGCTCTATTTCTCGTAGAATCGAGAGAGATGTGCGCAGGTGATATCGAGGTTCCAAGGTAAGCTCCGCAAACACGGCTATTGAAATTTAAAAGCTGTCCAATTCGCAAATTTGGCCGTGAATTAGCCTTCCTCTTTTCGAAAATATAAGTTCCTGCTTAAATATCTAATTTATCGTAGCGGCCGGATAAAAAGCCATAGTTCTAACTGTCGACACCCCTGTCCTAGGTAACCGCATTAATGAGCGAAAAACACCGTTAGTTCTACCTCCTCATCTTTCCCTCGCAAATCTTCACCAAAAGAGAAATAATTCTACCACAAAAGTGAAGCCTCTGAAAGCACAACCGACAATGAATCGTATACTCCTGGAGGCGCGCACTGCTCAAGAAGCCGCTGAAATCACCCGCGGAAACCACGACACCCTCAACGATGCATCGCTCACCTGGTCCGACACCATGTCTTGGCTACGCTCAAAAACCAACCTGAAAATAATCCTAAAAGGCATAATGACCGCAGAGGATGCATTATTGGCCATTGAACACGGCGCTAACGCAATAATTATGGAGGCCGCCAATTGGACTCTGTCCCTTCCACTATCGAAGTGATCCCTGAGATTGTCAGTGCAGTCCGTGGTAGGGTTCCCGTCATTATTGATAGCGGTATTACGAGGGGAAGCGATGTATTTAAGGCATTGGCGCTGGGGGGCAGATTTCACGCTTGTGGGCCGTTCCGCGCTGTGGGGACTCAGTTATGGCGGACAGGAGGGGGTGGAGAGTATTAGATATTTTTGAGCGGGAGCTTTCGAGGACGATGGCGTTGGTTGGCGCAGGGAGCATCAGAGAGATTGGAATGGAAATGCTGGGCGTGGAAAAGATGGACGGCTTTGGTATTTCAAGGCTGTAGATGGAGCTTATCATAGAGTAAAGGGAAGCGCTCTAGACTTGAGGGAAAGCTTGGGAAGAATAGACTTGATATACCAGTGAAATCGATCTATCGATTGAGTTTCCCATCTATTGTATCTCGTTTTGGATCTAACAGCCCTGTCTCGTGTTCCCTTCATGTGGTTTACCCTTGCTGGGTAAGGGGCAAAGACCCCCTGAAGTCAACATATGAGTTAAACGAGTTAATAATTACCCAAGCATTTTGAAGAAGTCATCCCACGCCGCGGAGGCTGCCGGCAATGGTACGCAAACTTGCCACTGGAAATAAATCTTTCAATTTCCGCATGAACAACAAAATTGGCCAGGTGCAGGAATCACCAGAGGGCATAAATCTCAACCAAATTTGCATTTCTGAATCTTCCCACAACCTAAAACCCAAGCTCGTACCCATTTCTCAACGCCTCGTTCTCGTCAAATTCATATGGTGACTCTTGCTAAGGGCCACCTCTCATATCGGCCAGCTTTTTAACAATCTTGTTATGTTGATCGCATTCAACTGTCAAGGCGATTTTGTAGGCACGTATGCCAACATGAGGGAGGGCTTGAGGCACTGAGGACACACCTCACATGAAATAGTTCGCAGAATGGGCGATCCAAGGGCGTCCTGCCCAGTCAGAACGAGGGCTGAGTATTGCAAAGAGCATAGGTTTTGATTCTCCTTGAAGAAATCCTTCGATATTGTAAAGGAGTCAATATAAAATTGCAGCCCAAACGATATTGAAATAGAATTAGAATTAGAATTTGCATGGCATTAACTCACCTAACCCCCGTTGCCAGGCTGCTTGATATCTGCATCACGAAAAAACTGGTTGCAAGGTCGTACGGCGACCTGAATTTTATTGGATCATGCACCTAAACAAGCTTTTGCGCCGAGAAAGCGGGAGGAACGCTTAAATTCCTCAAGGCATATGCATTTGCAAGGCAGAGAGGTTCACCAATTTCAAAAGAATTAATGCAAACTTCATTATTATGCCTATCGGCGAGTTAATTCGCGACACCTGTCTGTTGCATCATGACGTCCAAATCCAGTTCTATTCAGAGTTTTGTTCAGGAATAAAGATGCCGACTCCGTCTAACAGTCTCTCTCACAAGAACATGTTGATTTGTCTGCCTCCAGCCTCCAGCCCCCAGCAAACTCCCCTCTCAGGCAGTGATTCCGCGCATGCTTGTGCTTCAGGCAGAGCCAATCAGCGGCTCCGAGAAAAGTATGACGCGACAACAGTAGCATTTGACTCGGTAAAGCGGCATCCAGAGGGTGTGATTCATCATTTCTCTAGAAAAGTTCAGTGGCGCTTGTCGTGATATGATAGCTGAATGAAGCGTCGGTAAGCAAGTGGGCGGTATTTTATAAATATAATAGAAATATAGAACTCAACACGCTTCACTGTATTCGCTCCTAAGCAACTGAAATCCTTCTTAAAATTTGAGGTAAGGATGAGGTGCAAAAGTCCACAACTCAGGAGTGGTTAAAGAAGGACCACAGCGAAGCTCAGCTGTATGCAATGTAGTCATCCCCGCCGATGACAATATCGTCATACCGTCTTTTCTACCCTGCGTATGCCCAAATTGAGCATTTTCTGGCCAGCGACGTCGTTACCTGGGACTATTCGCAGAAGATGAAAGTTCAATGTCCGAATTTAACTTTTGAGATCCGAACCAAGCCTTTGTCAGCCGCGATCTGGACTCATCCCGTTTTGGCTGCTGGGCCAGGTCCAACCTCGTACAACTAACCATCCCAATGTTTCTTCGAAATCGTCAACTGCTACTGTCATTTATGAGTCCATCAAAAGTGCCACTTTTGTTGTGCAATGAGTGTTGAGTGGTGAATGTACACCATTTTCATTGCGAGAGCCGGATTCCTAAATGCTGCTTCGGATTACGCGCTGGAATTGTCTGATTATATACGATCTGCAACAGACGCATTGCGGACTCACAATCATAACACGTTTAGTACGGGTGCATTCATGGCTGCAGAAGAAGTGATGACTGCAAGATGGCTGTGAGCTTGGCCGCGAATCCTACATAACCTGCTGAACCAGTCCGACTTTTCCATAATCCATCAACCTGGGTCACAGCCCCAAACTGGGTTCTTTTTTGCTGTACCCCCAAGGGCTGCAATTACACTTGTCCGCCTCTCGATTGCGAAGGATTCTTCGGAAATAGTTTCCACTAGCCACCCCTGGCCTGGCCTGGCTCTCTGCGTTGTGCGCTGTTTCAGCCGTATATAGCTCTTTCATTCTATGATGACCCACCCGATATGCGTGGAATGTTGTGGATTGAGGTGTTGTCGAGGACATCAGTTCCGGATGTGCGGTGAAGGACAGTCTCAGCTTGTGATTTTTGAGACTGTTTAATCTGCTCCGGAGATGGAGATGCATTGAATCACCAGTGCATGGTGTAATAACAGAATCTTCTGTGTAAAACACAATATTGATTTACGAAACTCCCTTATCAGCTTTGCTACGGGATATGTCCCTTTTATAAAGCTCATGCTCATACCATCGGCTTGAGTGTTATTTTTAATCTTCAACAATCTTCATGAATCCAATATCAACATGGAATCGATTATCCAATTGGAGAGTTCTCCAATTAATTTCACGCAGAAGAAAAATCTTGTTCCTCTCATATCGCAACAACCCGGGCACGTTGAAAAGGGCGTGCCGAGAACGCATTATATTCCCCTCCCACCGCCGTCGAAAGAACCAACTCAGGTCCTTGATATAGATAAGGAGACTCCCGACAAACACGTCCCTAGAGATCCACGCCTTATTAGGCTTACTGGTGTTCACCCCTTTAATGTTGAACCACCGTTAACTACCCTATATGAGGAAGGTATCTATCTTTCTTCCGATACCTTGACTAATAAAATACTGTCTGTTCCAAACTTCATTCATTAATGAGAGCATAGGGTTTCTTACTTCTCCAGAACTCTTTTACGTGAGAAATCATGGATATGTTCCTGAGGTTCATCAGGAGGACATTCCCGATTGGAAACTCAGCATCGAAGGGTGAAGTCCAATTTGATCGTACTGAACGAGTACACTAACAACCCCTACTAACTAGATACACATAGCCTAGTAGAAAGCCCAATAGTATTGAATTTCACTCAAATTTTGACCGAATTTGAACAAATCACGGCACCCATTACTCTGGTATGTGCCGGAAACAGACGCAAGGAACAGAACCAGGTGAGAAAATCAAAAGGCTTTTCGTGGGGGGCTGCTGGAGTATCGACAGCCCTGTTTACAGGCCCATTGATGTCTTCCATCTTACTAAAGGCGAAGCTGCTTCAAAGTGCAAGATATGTGTGTATGGAGGGAGTAGATAAACTGGTAATGGCCCCCTTTATGCCGCGCTTCTTTAGCAGACATTGACGATGCTCCCATAGCCCAACGGATTCTACGGTACATCTGTCAAATTAAATTGGGTGATGGACCCTAACAAGCGAATAATGCTGGCACATAAAATGAACGGCGAGCCACTTCGGCCAGACCATGGTCGGCCACTCCGAGCTATTGTTCCAGGTCAAATTGGTGGACGGAGTGTTAAATGGTTGACGAAGCTAATCATATCCGATATCCCAAGTGACAATTGGTATCATCTATACGATAATCGAGTTTTGCCGTGAGTTTTCCCTACAGCATCTCAACTTTATATTTCCCCAGTTAAAATTTGAAATATAGTACCATGATATCTCCGGAAATATCCACGAACGAGCCAAAATGGTGGCACGATGAGCGGTACGCAATATATGATCTTAACGTCAACTCCGCTGTCGTGTATCCTGAACACGACGAGACAATTGTAGTATCCAGCTCTTCCATGTATAACGTCAAGGGCTACGCCTATGGTGGAGGTGGCCGCAGGATTACAAGAGTCGAAATATCCCTAGATAAGGGGAAGAGTATGTAGTCTCCCCAGATCCTGATGTATCCGTTCTAACATTGCATTGCCTCCCTAGCTTGGAGGCTGGCAAATATAGAATACCCCGAGGACAAGTATCGTGAAGTTGACCAGTACTTGTACGGCGGCAAAATCGACATGTCATGGCAGGAAACCTGCTTTTGTTGGTGTTTTTGGGCCCTAACTATATCGACAACCGAACTGAAAAATAGTGACGCGATTCTGGTACGTGCAATGGATGAGGCATTGAATATCCAGCCTCGCGATATGTACTGGTCTGTTCTTGGTATGATGAATAACCCTTGGTTCCGTGTTACTATCACCAAAACGGATGGCTACTTGAGGTTTGAGCACCCGACTCAACCCGCTCTGATTCCTGGTGGCTGGATGGAGCGCGTCAAGAAAAATGGCGGGGATTTGGCGAATGGAAATTGGGGAGCTGTATTAGAAGGCAGTGAAAACATAGCAGCGATGGAAGCCCCTAAAATCAACCTGAAGAAGCCTGACCTGGACATTACTATAAGTTTAGAGAGGTTTAAAAGTCATAAAACTGGGCCTGAGCCATGGTTTGCACTTGAGGGCGAGGTTTATGATGGTACCGCCTTCTTGAACGAACATCCAGGAGGGGCACAGAGCATTCTGTCTGCCGCTGGTCTTGATGTGACGGGGGAGTTCATGGCTATTCGTGAGGTTCCTACGTTGACCAAATAACTGCTTCCTTCGCTGACTAATTTCAAATAGATAGCGAAACCGCGAAGGGGATGATGAGGGATTATCACATCGGAAGCCTCGACATATCATCTCAAGAGGCCCTACAGAATGATATCGACGTCGAGTCGTTGTCACCCTCTCGTGAAGTATTTCTGGATTCGAAACTCTGGGCACCGTCATCCCTAAGCAGCAAAACAGTGATATCACCAGACTCCCGCCTCTTTACCTTTAAGCTCACTCACGATTCCCAATGCCTCGGTCTTCCCGTCGGAAAGCATGTCATGCTCAAAATTAGCGACCCATCCACCGACGAGACCATAATCAGAGCCTACACCCCCGTCTCCAAACAAACTGCTGTAGGCACCATAGACATCCTAATAAAATTGTATGCTCCCACTCCTGATTACCCAAACGGTGGTAAAATGACCATGGCAATGGACAAACTCCCACTAGGAGCCATGGTAAAGTTCAAAGGGCCCGTCGGGAAATTTGAGTACCTAGGGAAAGGTGCGGTGCTCCTAAACGGGGAAAAGCGTTATGTACAATCGTTCCATATGATTTGCGCTGGAAGCGGTATCACCCCTATCTTCCAAGTACTCCGCACTGTGATGGAGGACACAGAGGACCACACCTCATGTGTGGTCGTGGATGGCAATCGGACTGAAGCTGATATACTCTGCCACGCTGAGCTGGATGAATTTGTGGCACAGGATTCGAATGGCAGGTGTCGCATAGTGCATACTCTGACCCAGCCGTCGGCAACCTGGACAGGGCGCAAAGGTCGGATTTCGGAAGATTTGCTCTTGGAGTATGTTCCCGTTGGTAGGAAGAGGGGTGTTAAAAGCCTAGTGCTTGTTTGCGGGCCTGAAGCGTTGGAAGTTGCCGTCAAAAACGTACTGTTACGTATGGGCTGGGATAAGGATGATTTGGTCTTTTTCTGAGGCGACATATGGGAGTGACTTTCATAGATTTCATGCGGGGTGAAGGGGAATATATGGCTGTATCGATTTACCGTTTATATATTCAGCTTCCATTTTCGGGCACTTCAAGCACAAAATGCAGCTTCGCTGCTATGGGGGGAGGGTGACTTTGCAACACACGTGCTCTCTTCATAAATCGAATCTCAATCACATGTTCTTCGCTAAAATTTCAATTGAAGACAAAAAGAGCGTCCTGCACTCAATAATAAAAGCTCAAACGCACAAATAGGCTAGCGAAAACGGGGAATAGATATCCAAAGCCACAACATTGAAGAGAGGCACCTAATATGGACAGCATGTGCAATTCTATACACTTTCCAATCAGGAAAATGGCAAATATTTCTCTATCCTTTAGTCCCACCACTCCTCACCTTTCTAAAGCATGCAAACTCCCCGCGAGTCGCTTCCCGCAACCGCTTCAAAACCCCTCGCATCTCCCCCAGCTCAGCCTGTAACCTAGCCCTGGCCTCGTTATTTGTTCGACGATCAAGTTCCAAGTATATCTGGCTCTGTATTTTTGACGCCTCCTCTGTCGCGTACTGTGAGAGTGTTTGTGCAATGAACTCCGTATCCAGGGTTGCTTGCATGAGAGCCGGGAGCGAATACTTAGGACGCTGAATGAAGGCGTTCAAAAGCGATGAGGAAATCTGTGTTAGGAGGTGGGAGAGTATTGCGTTTGTGAGGGACGATGCGGGTGTGCTTGGTGGACTTTGAGTTGGTGTTGGGAGAGTTGTGGTCACTTCTGTATGCACCAGGACGAGGTTTAACATTGTTGTATATACATAAGGGCGAACTTGATCGGGTCGACTCGTTAGGGGAACCCAATCCGGAGCTGCGATCCCATCGAGGATAGTCGAATTTAACGTTGCGGTCATCGGCCGGGTGTACGATTGGAATAGGCGGGCGTCAATTTGACCAAGGACATCGCGGATTGTTTTAGACTCCTCGGTTAATTTAACGGAGAATGCAGTTTCGAAATTGGACACCAATTGAGGGACGTAGTCAGCGCGGAGAGCTTTGAGGTTGGAGAGCGTGAGGAGCATGCGAACGTTCTGAGAAAAGAGCAGTGAGTAAGAAAATCAAATATGGCTGTTGTTTGGAGTACAAAGGACTCACCCTATTTTTGGAATCAATGCCGCCTGAAGGGGGGATCGATGACGAGATATCCAATCCACCAATGCGAACGACGGGACCGACAAGAATCCATTCATTTTCTCCTTCAGTCGTAACTAGATGCTCCGCATTTTCAACAAGCCCGCTTAATGCCTTATACACGCTAGTTACAAACTGGGACCGGACCATCTGAAGGAGTTTCGCAGGTGGGGGGGTGACAACATCGACGACCCCAGGTTTCGTCATGGCCTCAGATATATACAATATCTTTTGCATTCCGGAAAGAACTGCGCTTTCGAATGCTACGAAAAGTCCGGGCATCTTAGTCATGTCCTTACGTTCAAAGTCTCTAGTCCAATCCTCCAGATATTTCACGCTCTCGGCATCTTTATTCCAAGCTGCGCATATAGCACGGACCGATCGTTCTCGTGTGCCGCTGACAAGAAGCTTTAGTTTATCGTAGGTACTACTACTGCTTGATATTGGGCTCATTGCAGCTATCTGGCTAGCAGCTGTTCCGATTAAGATTAAGAATTGGCTGAGATAGTGGACACCACTAAGAGAGTTCGCATATGGAGGCCAGAAGGCGAAATCCTCCCATGCTTCTCCTCTTCTAGGCGAAGGTGGGGGAATGTCCTTAGGATCTATCCTGAAACGAGAGTCGGTGGGGGTTAAGCCAGTTAGGGGGGTGTTGGGAGTTGTCGGGAGAGGTGAAAGTAGCAGAGACACGTCCTCGATAGGCGGATCGGCAAATATCGATACAGCGTTTTCGCGGATGAGATTTACAAGTTCAACCACACCATCTTTCAGATCACTTACTCCTCCCGAAGACAGTCGATGGTGTTTTCGGCTTTCACCCTCGAATCCTGCTGGAAGGAGCTTTTGTTTACTGCCATCGATGAAAGATTGTGTAGTGTCCCAAAACTCGATGACCTCTCCAAGGATGCCGCCGTCAACTGATAGTAGCTTTTTCAGATATGTGTGCACACATTCCCATAGTTCGATAACGGGCTCAGTATCGAGGGTGTCTGTGCCATTTGTTACGCTATCACGGTTAGAGATGTGAATATACGGCGCAACGGCTTGTGGCGTCGGTTTCTCCCTGTTGGCTAGACGTCGCCGAAGAATTTCAATTTCGACTTTCGACCGCTCACAGAACGCAATAATCTTGGTTTTCAAATAATCATAACGTCCGAGGAGCCAGACCCAGACCGGGTTATCGTCAACGCCGAGTTCAAGTAGTGTTGCAATTAGTTCCATGTGCTCTTCGATGGGGCCATCGACGCTCATCGTAGGGATATTTGCCTGAACAGTGCTCAAACGTCGCCACAAGTCCCGCTTGAAAATTTGTATTTGCTTTTCAACGTCCATCCACATTCTTCCCGTAGCAAGGATTAGGTGAACTTGTTCGTCGGTTAAAGGGCGCTGCGTTGTTGCAGCCCGGTCAGCAATGAGCTTTGCATCTATCGCATATCTTCTGGCACGTGTATATTGGTCAACAACTGCTTCGCAATCGCGCTGTTTGATCGATCGCGCGAGATTATATCCGATATCATATATCTCTCGGTGTTTTGCCATAGCTTCAATAACGGCTTTCAAACCCTCTTCTCGCTGTCGACCCCCAAGTGCTGCGCCCCACACCTCTTCCGCTTTCCCGGAAGCTTCCACTAAAGGCACGCGTATGCCCTTAACACCATATTCACTTTCTTTCGTAAGGGAGTTTTTCTGTGGAACTGGGCGTTCAGAGCTTCCGGGAGCGGCTGTGGCTCCCGTGCTGTATCTTTTGATGTGAGAAAGTCTTCCTTGAGGCAGGGCATCTGGTTGCGTGCCTTGGTTTCGCATTTCCGTATATACGTTGTCGATGGTTGCCTTTGCTCGGACGAAGCGCTCAAAATTCGATTCAACTAAAACCTTCAAAGATGCAGATTTCTTGTCGATAGATTTAGATAAAAAATCTAGACCTTCAAGAAGGGATTGGATAGAATCGGAGGCGTGAGTCTGGGAAAGGAAGAGCGCAGGCGAGAAGGTTGTTGACGATAGCAGGTAACGGTTTCGAACGCGAGCGTCATCGTCGGCGATGCCGCGTTGTTTCAACATCCTAACTACACTCTCGGAAGATCCCAAAGGGTCTGGTTCGTCCTTTTGGACCAAGTTATCCCTTCCATCTCCAGTCCGCTGAGATCCCGGCACTATGCTCCTGCGTTCGCTTCCACCTATTTGGAGGGCAGCATATCTCGATTTTCGCCGTTGGGAGGCAGAGGTGCCGGGGCCAGAGGACAGAGGCTCTTCACCATCCGAATCGTCACTTTCATTCAGCTCTGCTGGCCATTCTTCGGGGTAAAGTGACGGGATATTATAATAATGGGTAACGTCCGTGTCGTAGGAAGCCATAATAGGGTGTTGGGCAGCACAGCGAAACCGCCCCAGTAAAAATCAGAAGCAAGAGAAGGCGCGAAAGCAACTCCGTAAATAATGACACTTTTTAACCAGCCATAAAGTTTTCGCTAATCAATCAGTGCGCTCGACACATCTCTAAATCCCCGTCATCGCTGGCGCAATTGCTATGGATATCATGGTGTTGTTGTCTTGGACAAATGTGGTGAAGCTGAGCAAACAGAGCAAACACCCGCGCCGGCTTATCTAAGCTGGAAAAAATATCTCTGGGTGGGGCCGTGGTGAGTGCGCTGGGATACCATAACAAAGACCAACTCTTCCCTTCACTCTTCTCTCCAACATTACAACTCATTTTTACCTCAAACAGCCTCAATTGCTTTTTGTGACTGAAAATTTTCTTTTTCGCCAGCCTCCATATACACCCCGGCCGCCACAATGATTTCCCTGCGCGCGTTTGCTCCCGCGCGGCAGTGCCTACGAACGCCAGTCGGCCAATTGGCCCGCAAATCTCCGCTCAATGTGGGTGAATTATCTCTCCAGCCGCAAGTCCGCACCCTACAGCACCACGACTTGGGATAAGTAGGCTTACTTCTGCATATAATATAGGTTCGATGCTATGCTGTGGCTGTTGCGGAAAAAGTAGCAAAATTTCCAGGAACCAAAGGCCCTGACGTATGCTATGCCTTCTTCCCTCAGCTGAAACAACCATTGCGTTTGTAAATTGGAAGCTGAGAACAACTCTCATCTGTTTAGGGCAAATACACAGTCACATTGATCGAGGGTGATGGTATCGGGCCAGAGATCTCACAATCCGTCAAAGATATTTTCGCCGCTGCACAGGTAAAGCAAAATGCGCCAGCTTCGTTCCTTGACAATTGGTTTATCTTGGTTCTAGTGCGAGACTTGCTGAATCAACTAGGTACCGATAAAATGGGAACCGGTCGACGTTACGCCGATTCTCAAGGATGGGAAGACTGCTATTCCAGATGAGGCTATCAACAGCGTGAAGAAAAATTTCGTCGCCCTAAAGGGACCACTTGCTGTAAGTTCCGTTTTGCTAAAATGCCATTATTGAGAGCAAGGACAGTGGTTAAAAGGATAGACAGACACCCGTCGGAAAAGGCCATGTTTCCCTCAACCTTACTCTTCGCCGTACATTCAATCTTTTTGCAAACGTCCGACCTGGCCGGTCGATTGCTGGTTACAAAACCCCATACGATAACGTCGAAACTATCCTCATCCGCGAGAACACCGAGGGCGAATACTCTGGAATTGAACATGTTGTGGTGGATGGCGTTGTGCAGAGCATTAAGCTCATTACTCGGGAAGCCTCCGAACGTGTTCTCCGCTTTGCCTTCCAATATGCCCAGGAGGTAGGCAGGAAGAAGGTCCGCGTCGTGCATAAGGCCACCATCATGAAAATGTCCGACGGTCTCTTCCTGCGTACTGCGAGAGATGTTGCCAAGGATTTCCCCGATATTGAGTTCGACGCCGAACTCCTTGACAATACTTGCTTGAAAATTGTTACCGATCCCGTCCCTTACAACGACAAAGTCCTGGTCATGCCCAACCTTTACGGCGATATCCTATCTGACATGTGTGCTGGTTTGATCGGCGGCCTGGGTCTCACCCCGTCCGGTAACATTGGAGACGAATGCTCTATCTTCGAAGCTGTCCACGGATCCGCCCCTGACATTGCTGGTCAACAGAAGGCGAACCCAACAGCCTTGCTCTTGAGCAGCATCATGATGTTGCAGCATATGGGACTGAATCAGCATGCCGATAAGATCCAAAACGCTATCTTCGCCACTCTCGCGGAAGGAAAGGTAAAGAAACATCCATTGAACCCTACGTACTCATCAGTGCTCAGCTAACGACATTCTTAGTCCCTCACTGGTGATCTTGGTGGCAATGCCAAAACCAACGAATACGCAAGCGCCATCATCTCTAAACTGTAATAGTAATATATTATCTCCCTACACTCTCTCATCAACGATTTCCCCGAATGTTTTACGCAACCAATCATTTGCAGTTCTCCATTAGATAGAGATGGTCGTGATGTACATATCCTGAGCTCAGTGAGCTGATATTTTCTTTTGTTTTCTTGTTTATCATTGCGAGAGTTAGCACAGTTTACTCCTTTCCTTAATTGCTACGCGTTATTTGTATACAAAAAAGTGGCTCGATGTAATACTACGTAGATGGCTTCCGGCGGTTCCCTGTTGAGGTTGATCTTCCTTTTGCATTTGGATATATAAACTTAAATGTGGAAGATATTGGACTCTAGCTGTGGTATACTTACATACAAACTCGTATAATGTTCACCTGTTGGTGATAACCGTGCAAACTTCCAAAAAACAAAACTAGCCCCCGTGTCCGGGTTTTCGCTAACCAGTCATTGAAAGAGATGCGAAGATACATCACGTCCCATAATTTAAAAACGCCCGACTCGAGTTAACCCCCATTAAGGATCGAAAAAGTGAAGAAGGGACAACAAGAGAAGAAAAAAAAAAAAAAATCTTACTACCGTCGCCTGCCGCGTTTAGGCGCACCTCTGGCCGGCTTTTTCGTCTTTCCGCGCGTCGCTTGAGTCCGAGTTGGCCTCGCCCGAGCTGAATCCGTGGCTTGAGTGTCGGTGTCTTCCCCTTCACCTGTCTCCGTCCCCTCTTCATCTCCTTCCTCTCCTTCGCCATCTTCTGCTGTGTCTTCTTCTTTGGCGGGACTGGCCTTGCTATGGTGTCGCCCTTTTCCATTCTCAGTTTCAGCATGTAGCCGTGACGATCGTGTGCCTCGAGTGTTCGCACGTGTGCTACGGTTAGCCCGCCGGCCACGGGAAGGTGCGGGCGAAGAGCTGGGCTCTAACAGTTTATTTTCTTTAGTTTCTCTCCACCATTCAACATGTATTATCCGATAAAGCGGTCGGGATTACCCACCATCTGTGTCTGCAATTGTACTAGCCCTTACTGACCCTCCAGCAAGGCTCATAGGGGGAGACGATGACCCTCCTGGAGCAAGCCTCCTTTGAAACATCATTCCACCGTATTCATCGAACGGTAGCTGGAATGGACAGTAAGTCTCCTGTGCTGGTTCTGAATCGCCGGATCCATCTGTAGCAAACGAGGCTTCCTGAGTAGAGAATTGTGTTAGCCACTTCGTTGATCCATATCGTCCAACAACAAGGAGGATGTATGATTCGGTCACCAACTCGCTCATCGAGCCCCGCGAGATTGTATAGAGTTCCTAGCTTTTTCCAAATCCCAGGTATTCGAGTATGTTGATCGTTTGGTGTTATGTAGCCCTGGCTTATCAAATGTTCCGAGATAGCCAGCATGCGAAAGTGTTTGTGCATCCCTAACGATGTTAAATTGGTTACTTAAATTGCGCCCTGTGTCTATCGTGCCATAGCCGTCCACATACCGACAGGTTTCCATCGTATGATACCTTTAAGCAAGGATGTTTCTTGCTCCTCAGTCCATGGGTCTGTAACTATAGAATCGCTTTCGGTTTCAAGCTTCGACGCAGCGTCTGGTTGCGTGGGAGTGCTAGATGCATGCTGGAGAACCTCCGATTGTGGAGTCGAATCTCCCTGTGAGGAGAGCCGCAATTTCTTTCTGGGTGGCATTGTAAGGGATATACGCTGTATGGCTTGTAGGAGAATGTTAGTTATTATGGAGGTAGGGGAATGAGAGATGGATATGAGAGCCACAAACCGTGCCGGGAAGTGTTATTCGCCGAAACTACCCAGCTTGAACGGGGAAAGGTTGAAATAACGCCGGCAAATAAGCAGTGGTCCGTGCACGTGGCTATTGCACGCTAGTCCTATACTATACTAGTGTGTTATGATCAGTCGCGTTTTCCAAGGTTATTCTCCCCAAACGCGTCAGAACGATTTCGGCTCGCGAAATAGCATATTGAACGGGACTTGTATGTTAGCAATGGACCTCCGAAGAGATGTGGATGACCCGTTTGCGCTTGCCGTTGACAAGCTCTGGGAACCTTCCTATTTTCATCTCCACGAGCTGCAACCGCTAGACTCTCTGCCTTGGGATAATGACCTTCCAGGTACAGCTGTCATGCTTTCGAATTATTTCTATGTTCGCAGCAACTAACTTCTGTCTCTAGAACTTGCCCAGGGCGTTTTTCAGGGTCCCTTAGACCTCTTTACGAAACGCGATTCCAACATATATGAATTGAATCTATTTGGTACAGACGCGCTCGAATCGACTGACCCAGATACCCCTTTATCCCTCAGTACGAGTCAAACTGATGTGGACCCCAATGAAACAAAGGATGAAACGGATGAAACGGATGAAATAACGGACATATGGGCATCGGATGCAAATTTAAACCTAATTACTATAGGGAGATCATTGAGGTCGTGGGATACATTTCCACACCATCCCGTTCACTGGGCCAGCCCTCTTTACCTAAGTGAAGCTGGTCCACGCGGATTTGATGCTGCATTAGGTTATCAGGCAACGAAATCGGGTCTTGAGGATTCGGGCCGAGTAGCGCTAACAGATATTTTCGTTGCGTCGCTATTTCGACTAGGCCTCGGGTGGAATTCAATTTTTTTCCGATTCAACGAACAGAACCGAGTGTTCGAAAAGCATATCAAGGATGCCCGCATATCCGGAATCAGCCTGACTGCAGTGGATGGCTTGATTGAGGAATTTTTACAATGTGGAACACAGGTGCGAAAGGTAAGAAGATTCATTCTTGCAACGCCTACTCGAACGGATCTGCCGACCCCGTTATCTAGCCTGGCTTGCGCTGCGTCGGTCCTACTACATAGTTTTGAGGAGCATGTCTACGAGCGTTTCAAGACGGATTTGCCGTTGCTGAAAACTCAGATGTTGTTCAGACGCCCTGCCTGTCTCCTCAAGGTCCTCGTCGACATAATAGAAAATGCAGAAAATGCGACAACGGATGGTGCTGTTATATCCTCAGTCTTTACAAAATGCGATTATTATTCCCATGAATTTGTCTGGCTATCTAGCGTGCTTCGTGAACTGATGGCCATGGTGGCTGAATCGTGGCTTTCCTCGGTTGAGTCCTGGATCGGACTTAGGCCTGAACCTCAAACCTTGCTAGAAGTCAATCGAAATAGGAAGGGTTTCATAAATACCGACGAAGTTCACGGTCAAAATTGCGGAAGGATCGAAGCTAGGCTGGTTGACTACAGTTTTCGTCCAGAAGCTATGCCTATCTTCGTTCCCGCAGGCTATGCGGAAACGATATTCGAAAGCGGCAAAAGTTTAAGGCTACTCAAAGAATTCCATCCTAATCATCCACTTTCTATAAAAAGTGGTACGAGTCGGTCAATGAATTTAGCCCTGGAGTGTGCTTTTACCTGGAAGGATATTGACAAAATCCAACAAAAAGCCAACAATTATGAGGCGCAACTTCGAGCTGAGATACTTCGCTACGACGAAGTACGACTCCAAAAATGTAGTACGTTAACATCTGAGGACAAGAACGCTGATACCCCAGTTCATGAAGACCATGACCCAATCGACGACGTTTTTTCACTTTTCGACCTTGACGGCAAGAATGATGATATCAAATTATTAGCAAGTCATTCTTCAATCTCTTCCGATAGACTACACGTCCTCCTCACCGAGAGCAACTGTTTCAACACGGACGAGGTTCCGGGAAACAGGTCTCTTTTCGGCCCACCTTTGGATGCGTCTGTTTACCTCTCATTTGCCCCGGTTATTTCGGCCCAAACAAGATTAATTAACTTCTCCTGCCTCCACCTTCTTTTCAAAGGCCATAAAATCAAAGAGCACCTGCAGTTACAATGGCGGTTTCAATTATTAGGCGATGGTATCTTTTCATCACGTTTGTCTCATGTTCTATTTGACCCTGAAATGCACAGCGGAGAACGGAAAGCTGGTGTTGCCCGTGGGGGAAGTTCTACTGGCCTTCGTCTGGGCAATCGTGATACCTGGCCACCAGCAAGCTCTGAGCTTCGCCTGGTGCTAATGGGGTTGCTCTCTGAGAGTTATCACGGAGACAAAAATTACATTGGGCAAAACACCGGAAATCAAGTCAGGAATAAAGAGCTGCCTGGCGGCCTCAGCTTTGCAATCCGTGAGCTAACAGGCGAAGAACTTGTAAAATGTAAAAATCCCAACTCCATTGAGGCTCTAGATTTCCTCCGTCTTCAATACCACCCGCCTTCAGTCCTTGAAGCCATAATCACTCCCAGAAGTTTACGCAGATACGATACCATCTTCAAGCGACTTCTGAGGCAGATACGAATGCTTTCAGTCGCACGTGGCCTTATCCGTGACTCCACAGATCGATCGAATACCGCAGACATGAGCCGAACAATCACCCAGAAATTCCGCATCGAAGCGCACCATTTCGTGCAAACCGTGAGCGACTATTCCTTCCACATTGCAGTTGGAGAGACATGGAGCAAGTTCGAGAGAATCCTTGTCAAAATCGAGAAGTGCATTGATAAGGGAGATATCGATGGTACCATTGACAATGCCAAAAGCCTACACCGTCTCCGAGAGTATCATGAAGATGTCCTAGATCAGATCCTATTCGCTTTATTCGTGAGCAAGAAACACGTACAGGCTAGAAAGTTAATAGACGACATCTTCGGCACTATTCTCACCTTCTCCTCTATATCTAAAGCGGCCTCCACAGGCACGTGGGTGCAGCAGGATGGGAAGCCCTCTTATGATCTGATTGTTCGTCAGCTTTTCTCCGTGTTTAGGAAACAGGTTTCAGGTTTTGTAAGGTTTTTAAGGGCACTGGATGGTGCCAAGGCGATGAGGTCGAAAGGGAAACCTCAGGATCTTGCCGCGTGGGGGATCGATGATCGCGCAGGTGTTGACACAGATAGTATCTTTGAACACCTCCTTTTACGACTGGATATGAATGGATTTTATTAGTCCATATACTGTATGTGAAATATGAATTGATGATATCCCCCGTACTCCTGAGCATCAAATCTAGATAATTTTAGAAAACAGTTAAGTTATCCAATAATGTTTTATTCTGCCTTCTTCTCAACCCTAGCCTACACGTTGTCATCAATCGAAGCAAGGGGAGCAATATGTACTGTACATACATACATGCACGAGAAGTCCCTCGCAAGCTCATGAATATAGAGCATGTACATGTACAAAGAGGTAACCAGCCAGAATCCTACACACTTTTGTGTGACGTACGTATTGGGCTTTTCGGTAACCTCAATTCCCAACCATTTGAAACCGGTTTCGTAGACCCCTGGCCTTGCATCTTCCACGTCTTCCACGTGTCTAAGCAACTCGATTCTAGCTTTGCGGGAATCGATCATGGAGATAAATTTGCACCAAGGCCACAAAGCGTGGCAATATCCCCCATGAAGAACCGCATCATCCACTGATCACCTGCAGGCCAAATCGGTCCCTGCATGTCTCCACAGGATTCTTCCAGTTAGAACCAACTGTCGTTGTAAATGCACACTAGGTGGAAATCTCTCAATAGCCAAACCCAAATAAACATTGTCTCTACAGATTTGTGGGGTATAGTCCTATTATTCACCGTTTTTTGGACCACTGTCTTCATACTACCCCAGGCCATTCAAGAAATCCCAGTCGAAACGGCTGAATTTCGAAAAAAGAACGTCAGCCTGGGATATCGTATATCTCATTATCTCATCCGCTATATTATTCTAACAGAAGAATTTTGTCGTCTCTAGGACTCTTCAACCATCCTCTTAACCCTATCCAGTAATACGGTGCTCTCTCGTCCAAGTCTTCGTTTCCCAAACTGATCTGGTCTTCTTGCCCTAGCCATAGCCTCTCGATCGCGTTGCTTGGCTTCTCTAATCCTTTGTTTCTTCTCAATTTCCTCCTGTCTCCTTCTTGCTATTTCTACCTCTTTGGTAAACGGCGACGGCTTTGGTGGACGCTTGCGCCGATTCCGCGAGTCTCTTGGCAGACGATCCGTTCTTGACGTAGGCGGTTGTTCTGCCTGGGGAGCATCAAGCATAGCTTGTCTATCTGGATGCAACTCTAAACTCGCTGCCTCTGGCTTTGTCGCATCTCCATCATTTTCCAGTGTTGATTCTTGGGTAAAACTAGGTTTTGCAGTTCCCTTTGCCAGTTCCTCTGCTTTAACTTTGGCGTAGGATTTCTTGACCTTGGCTTTATGGATTAGATCGCCTTTGATTTTTTGCACTATACACAGCAAAAGAAGTAGAACGTGATTAGTTGTGAGCATTTAGATCAAGCGCAGGGTAACAGCAGAAGATTCGGCGCGTACCCTTTCGTCGATAGGTGCCGTCAGGAAGGTTTGCTGGGCCAACTGAAAACCCCTTCTTCTTCTTAGCCACATTAGCATCGGCGCTGGCACCATCCTCCCGAGGTCTCTTAGCAGCCATGTTAACTTTTGTAAAGTTCAATTGCGGCCTGACAGATGTGCAACAGAGAATACCTGGCGTACTGGTGGATGAAACTGTTAAGTCCAGGAACTGTGCAAGAGTAAAGTTTTAATGTCCATAGACAACTATCGTACCATAGGCCATACTCATAGACAATCGTAGTTGCGACCAAGAAGGTAAACAAAGAATTTTCCCAAAACACCAACAGTCATTAAGTTAGCTAATATTTGAGAAAAATAAATTTTTGAAGACAGGTGATCTGGATGTCTCCACGTGACCCGGCTCGGCATTGCAAGGTTCCGTGGGGCAGTTCGGTAATAACCTCAGATGAACCAGCGATGATGTATG